CCAAGCCACTCACCCCTGCATCCCTGCATCCCTGCATCCCAAAACCCCTATCCCTGCATCCCAAAACCCCTGACCCCTGCATCCCCAAACCCCTGACTCCTGCATGTTTCAGCCCTGAACCCCTTATTTTCCAGCTTGAATCCTAATGGCTTTGTGATGCTCTTATGTCATTGATACTGCTGCAGCCAAGGACAGTATGGGGCTTGCACAGAGAGGTCAGGGATGAGGAGGTGTATGGACATCAATGCTGTACCAGTCTCTAGTGATGATATGATATAGAACATTTCTCACAAGCCTTTCAAGGGCCTCCTTGTTGCTCCACAGCCTTCATACTGGCAGCCTCAGATTCTCCCTCCTGCTGCAGGCAACTGTCGCAATTGCTGCCTGGTCCTCAGACAAGCTGCCCTACCCTCACAACTCAGGCTGCCCAGCAGATGTCAGTTGAGGCACAGCCTGACACCTTTCTGAGCCGGAAACTGCTGGGCCAGGTGCAAAAAAGGGTGTCAATATTCTCACAAATATCATGGCTGGCCCCTGACCCTGGCAGATGGCCCATAAGACACTCTGACATGTCCAGCAGGCCTAGTAGCACTGCCTGGCCCTCTCTGGGCTCTGCCTAGGCCAGCAGGATGGGCCCTGGCTGCAGCCTGTCCAGGTGCAAATTTTGGTTAGAACAGGCCACGCCTGCATGCTGCGCTAGCTCAGCCAGCTGGGAGCAGTTCTGGCCCAACTCAGGGTGGCCCAGGTGTACAGCAAGTGGAAGCTCTAACCCTGAATCTTGCTTATCTCACCCCTTGTCATGTTCTAGGCTCAGCTCTTCCTGCCAGAGTAGCAGGCATAGTAGGGTAAAAGTGAGTGAAGGATGTCTGAGGAAACACACACAAAGAGGCGGGATCCCAAAGTCCTGCTGTGCACCCCACCTGTGATTCATATCCTAAGATACAGGCCAAGATGACATCATCAGGTTCTATGGAGTAGTGGTCAACTCTAGCGGTTCTGACTGAAGTGCAGGATCCCCTTGCTTGAAGGGCTTGTTTGGAATCCGCTTGCCCCCGGTTCGAATCCGGGTAGGACCTCTTTTTTCCTTCTGCCTTGGGGTCACAGGACCTTTTTCTTTTGACCCAAAACACCTCGGTTTGGTGATCAGGACTGGGGTTGCAGCTGGTGTGGGGATGAGGTCAGCCTTAGGGTGAGGGCTGGAGCCAGACCTGGGCTAGGTTAGCTCAAAGGCTTGCTGCAGCGTCGGTGAATGCCTGTGGAGGAAAGGTTATACTGAGGCCATGATGATGCTGCTTTGTTGCTTGTGAAGGGCCTGTGAAGTGCTGGCAGGGTGCCAGGCAGCCAGGAAATGGTCTCCTGCCAGGCCTGGTGTCAGAGGCCAGGGTTTGGCTGGGCGAAGCAGGGTTGGTTGGCCTCGCGAGGCGGCGGCGGGCTGACGTGCCGGGACTCGGGAAACGGGGATTATGCGCAGCGGCCACACGAGCTGCGGGGGCGCGACCTCTGGCTTCTCCGACCTGGCCTTGCTGACGACCCTCGAGCCTCGACACCCCTCGCCCCCTGCCTCTCGCCTCCAGGACTACCATCACCACCGCCTCCGCCATCGTTATCGTCGTCGCTTCCTCCGACACTCTGCCTAGTCCAACGCATCACCTTGGGCAGCCATCGGCAGGGCGCAGCCACCTCGCTCAACGCCGCGCTTGCACTATCGCACATTCGCATCGCACGATCCGACGAGCTCGGGAGACGAAGCTGCTCGCCCCGCGTCTTCTCTGGCTTACGTCCGTCGAATCCGACCACTCGCGAACACTGCCCTAGGACGACACGACCTTCACGCTCTCTTCACGCCCTCCGGCATTGACTTCGCACGCTCACGCTCGAGACATTCGCTGGACGACTGCGTAGCCCGCCACACCTCGTCCTCGGTCCGCCTCGTCGACTGCGAAACACCGAGTGCCTTTCGACGCCGCCTCGCGGTTCCCACCCTCTACCTCTCGACCCGGCTCTAGGGTGACCACGCCGCGCGGACCGCCCGCACAGCATGGCGTTCGATCTCGATGCTTGCATAGCCACGCTGCTCAAGAAGCAGCTGCTCGGCGAGGCGTTGCTCAAGGAGATCTGCGAAAAGACCAAGGAGGTGCTGATGCGGGAGAGCAACGTCGTCCACATCTCGGCGCCCGTCACAGTCGTGGGCGACATCCACGGGTGAGTGCTTGCGCGGCCGTCGATGGGTCTCGGCGTGCCATCAAAGAGGAGAGCGAGCGACGAGCGGAGCGGCATGCTGACTGGTCGCCTCCCCCTCTGCGCCACACCGCTTCCCGCCTCGCCGACGCAGGCAATTCTACGACCTGATTGAGATCTTCCGGATAGGCGGGTACGCGCCGCACACCAACTATCTCTTCCTGGGCGACTACGTCGACCGCGGCCTGTTTTCGGTCGAGACCATCTCGCTGCTGACGTGCCTCAAGCTGCGGTATCCGGACCGCGTCCAGCTGATCCGCGGCAACCACGAGAGCCGCGCCGTCACGCAGACCTACGGCTTCTACACAGAGTGCCTGCGCAAGTACGGGTCGGCCAATGTGTGGACCTACTTTACCGACATGTTCGACTTCCTCACCCTCAGCGTCGTCATCGACGATCAGATCTTTTGCGTGCACGGAGGTGAGTCCCGGTCGGTGCGAAGGGCGCTGCCACCCTGCTCGAGAGAGGTGTTGGTGCTGACAGCCCCTACCTTCTCTGACCTTACGCCTCCCGCTCTTCGAACCCGCTCCTCGATCCAGGCCTCTCGCCGTCGATCCACTACATCGACCAGATCAAGATCATCGACCGGTTCCGCGAGATCCCGCACGAAGGGCCAATGGCGGACCTGGTGTGGTCCGATCCGGACCCGGACAAGGAGGAGTTTGCCATTTCGCCGCGCGGCGCGGGCTACACGTTTGGGGCGAGCGTCGTCAAGCACTTTCTGGAGCGCAACAACATGTCGCACATCCTGCGCGCCCACCAGCTCTGCATGGAGGGCTTCTCGGTCCTCTACGACGACCGCCTCAGCACCGTGTGGTCGGCGCCCAACTACTGCTACCGCTGCGGCAACATGGCCAGCATCCTCGAGGTCGGGCCGGGCGGCACCAAGCACTTTAACACGTTCGAGGCTGCTCCGGAAAACGACCGAGACGGGCCCAACCAGGTGCAGAACCAACAAAAGGTGCGTGGCATCGTGCGGCGAGCGAGGAAGCGAGCGAGCCGGGGTCGGATGTGGCCGTTGCGAAGCCGGCGACAACGCGGCGTCTCGATCTCGGTGCCAGTTGTCCGCTCGGCGAGAGGAACCTCAGCGCGACCCATTGGCGCCGGAACGATAAGCTCGACCCGCGGTCTTGATCGACGAGCCGCAGCGCGACGTTCGATACCCATTGCCCCCGATGACCTGACGGCATGCTAATGTCCTTTTCCGTCTTCGCTCCATCCGCTACCTTCTATCGCCCTTCGAATCGAAACGAAACAGCACGAGGCGGTCGAGTACTTCCTTTAAACGCCATCGATCGCTGCGCTCGCCATCCAGCGTCGAGGCTTGCACCCGCCATCGGGAGCGAGGCGGCATCTCGACGAACAACTGTAACTGTATCCTGGCCCATGCACGACATCCTGGGGGGGATCTGCGGAGGCGTCGTCTGGCTCTCTCCTCGTCCCGCCATTCATACCCCTCCCGCCATCCCGTTTCCTCTCCGGTCGTGTCTTTTGCCGCGCCCTCTCCAACCGCTGACTCTACCCGCCGTCGCCCTCGCCTGGCCGTGCGTGCGCCAGCTCGGCTTGTCTGCGGTCCCGCCCAGATCCCCTCCAGACGTCTGATCGCCCCTTGCCTCTGGCGCAACGCCATCTCGGCGTCGACGCGGGTGGCATGGCGGGGCCAATCCGCGTGTCTTCTGAGCACCACATCGCACTGCCGGCATCGCATCGCGCGAGGGCTGGAAGGGAGGGAGGATCCGCCATACTGCATTACTCTCCGCTCCATGCGACGGAGCAAGTCCGAGGATAACGACAACCATCTCCTCTGCCGAGTGCGTCGCCGCAACCTCGAGGCTGCCGTCTCGCCTTCCCTGGCGGCATCCACCCGATTCCTTCCTTCGTGCACCGACTCGACGTACCGCCCTCGAGCCCCTGGGGCCTGGGCCCACTGGCGACGTCTAGGAAAAGCTGCCGGCAAAGACGCCGAGCATCGTGACCCAGGCGCCCCTGCTGAGGCTCTCGAGGCCCTCCTCGTCGACCATCTTGTTGACGCAGTCGAGCAGGCCCTCGTACCGCTGCACGACGGGCGCGCCAAACTCGGCCGCCGCCTCCTCGACCGACTGCTCCTCGATCGGTCGCAGCGCAATCACGGGCTCCGGTGGCTCGCTGCCGCTGACGTTGCTGCTGCCGAAAGCACCGCCGCTGTTGTTGCTGCCGCCGCCGCCAAACGACTGCGCGCCTCCTGCAAGCCCGCCGAGCTGGACGCGGCTGGATTTGTTGTTGCTGCTGGCAGGGCCGTCCGCGCTCGCGGTCTGCGAGTCGGCGTTGCGGCGCGGCGACTCTTCGTCGTCTTCATCGTCTTCGATGGCAAAGCTGGGCCGCGAAGGCAGGTCGCTGGCTCCAGCGGCGGCGTCCCGGTCGAGCGACTTGCGGTCCGCCTCGGTCGAAGCCTTGGCGGGCGCGTCGTCCGAGTAGCCGCCGCCCGGCTGCGTCTGAGCGGCAACGGTAGCCTGGTTGTTGTAGGGTGCCGGTCCGGCGGCCGCCGCCGACGTGGGTGCGCGGGCGTATGCGCGGTGGAGCGGGTTCTGCCTCTCGGGCTGCTGGGTCGAGAGGCGGACCATGACGACCTCGAGGGGAGCGAGGACGACGACGCTGAGCACGTTCCAGAGGACAAAGACGGCGAGACCAAACGAGCTGACCTCGAGCATGCTCGAGTTGGGGCCCGAGTACTCTTCCTGTCCCGGAGCGGCGGGCACGGCGGGGTCGAGACCGCCGAGCGAGGGGACGGTGAGCTGGCGGACGATGCGGGTGGCGAGGCCGATCCAGGCGACGTGGGCGATGTTGGCGGCGAGGAGGCCGGGGAGGAGGTAGAGGCGCCAGGGCTGCGAGTACTCCTGGTAGGAGAGGAGCTCGCGGAGGTTGTCGCGCGGGCGGTTCCAGGGCAGGATGCGCGGGTGCACGATGGTGCGGTAGGAGACGACGTTGAGGGGTAGGGCGACGAGCGAGGCAAAGAGCATGTAGAAGAGGTTGGTGAAGAAGCCAAACTGGCCGGGAGCGCTGGGGGCGGCCTTGTACTGTCCGCCAGCGGCCGAGGTCTGGGTGCCGCTGAAGAAGACAAAGGTGAGGGTGGAGAGGAGGATGAGCTGGAGGGCTATGGGGGCCGAACCCTTGTATACGCCTGCCCAGCCCTCGAGGCGCTTTGTGCGCATGAGCATCGAGAGGACGCCGGGGACGACGGGCCCGATCTTTGCGGTTGACCTGCGTTCGGAGAGGAGGAAGGCCGAGAGGGCGCGCGGGTTTGCGGCCGATGCGCCGTCCTCGAGGACATTGTCGAGAGAGACGGCTTTTGGGAGGTAGTTTGCGCGGAGGCGGGTAATTGCGCCGCTGAAGGGCTGCGAGATGAGGACGGATATGCCGACGGAGAAGGTGATGGCGAGGAGGAAGGCGATGAATGCGATGATCATGGTGGTGGCGGTGCGGGCGAGGGCGAGGGCGAGGGAGAAGGAGAGGGAGAGTGGTGGGGGAGTGTCGGGGGGCCTGTGCCCGGGCTGGTGGAGCCAAAGGGCGACGAGGTGTGCAAGCGGATGTCTACGGCTGCGCCTGCGGTGATGGGAGTGGCGAAAGGGGGTGGTAGCGGTGGTGGTGGCGGTGGTGGTCGAAACGAGAGAGGAGGAAGGCGTCGTGGCGGGAGGGGTGGTGTTGGTGTTGTGCGAGTCGAGGGCGGGTACGTGGCGGAGTCGTCGTGTGGGACCCGACCCGACCAAGCAAAGCAAGCAAGCAAGCAAAGGCTGTGCACGGCCGGGGCCTGCCAGGACAGCCTGCCACCAGCGACGCGCGTGTGGAGTTGCAGCGAGGCCAGGCTTGGCTGGCTGCACCTTTGGCCGAGGTCCGAGCCAGGGGCAGACGTACTAACTGTGCGTTCGGGCCAGAGCCAGAGCCAGAGCCAGAGCCAGGGCCAGGGCCAGATCGAGGCTTGGTCGAGTGAGCGGCGCGGCAGACGCTGGACCCTGACGACGGCCCGCCGGACCTCTGTCTGTCGGGTCTTTCGCGCGAGAAAAAGGAAAGAAGCCTCGGCCAGGAAAATCGACGAGGCCAAGGTGACGTCGACCGCCCAAGTGGCCCGAGCGCGCAGCCGGCTCCTCGACCGCAGCGGCGGCACACGACAGTGGGCGGCTGAATCAGACGGCCGCAGAGGCCCCCCTACCGTACCCTAACGCCGGCGGCCGGTCGGAACGAGGGGCTGCGCTGCGCTGCGGGTCGACCAGGTGGAGGCAAGGCAGGCCAGGCTTGCGGCTGCTGCTGCTCGTCGTCGTCGAGCTATAAAGCCGCAGCGTGGAGCCGCTCGCTACCCGGCCTCGCCTTTCGCCTCCGCAGCACATCCACCGACCCCCATCTCATCGTCGTCCACCACCAACACCACCAACCACCACCACCAACAACACCCGCTACTCGCCCATCATGCCTCGCACCGCAGGTTCGTACCGCTCCCTCGTCGCTCCCCTCCGCTCCCCTGCCACGCCGACCTCGCGACGGCACTTGACCATTGCCGCGCCGTTGCGCACGCTGCAGCCCCTGGTCGGCGGTCCTGCCCACGCCCGTGGTACGAAGCTGCCGCCGCCAAACCGTCCTCTTACACCCCGTTCCATCGCCGTCGTTCCCCTTGCCGTGCACCCCTCGCCGTCCCTGCGTGCCTTTTCCACCTCTCCAACTGCCCGGCTGCCTGCAACCGCAGAGACCGCCAGCTACCGCCTCAACCAGTGCGTACCAAGCCGGCAGCAGACGGCATTGCTATCGCAGAGCCGGAACCGCCCGCGCTGACCGCTTCGACACCCCGCCTCCCTCCCTTGCTCGCCCGCCCGCTCGCCCGGCAGCACCATGATCCGTGTCAAGGACCCCAAGAAGTCGCTCGACTTTTACGAAAATGTCCTAGGAATGGACCTCATCGACCAACACAAGGCCGACGACTTTACCCTGTGCGTAGCTCCCAGCCAGCTCCTCCGCCTTGATCGGCAAGAGGCTCGAGACGAGGCTGACCACTTGCAACCCTATCGTCACCGTCATGCGCCTGGCCAACCCGCAGCTACTTCCTCGCCTACCAGCACAACCCTAAGGAGCAGCGCGGAGAGCGTGAAGGTGAGCCGCCACCCGAACAGATGTGCCTGTCGACTGCAAGAGGAACGTGCTGCTGACCCCGATTCCTGCACGCTCGACCGCCCTTGCCACCCACCTTAGCCATCCTCGAGCTGACGCACAACCACGGCACTGAAAACGACCCCAACTTTGCCTAGTGCGTAGAGCTGTCCAAGCCTCGATGGATCGCCCCATTCCTCCCGCTGCTCGCCTACGCCAGCTGACCGATTGACGGCACTGCTGCTCGCCCCCTTGTCGCTCCCCCACCCGCAGCCACAACGGCAACAAGGAGCCGCAGGGATTCGGCCACCTGGCCATTGCCGTCGACGACATCCAGGCTGCGTGCGAGCGCTTTGAGAAGCTGGGCGTCAAGTTCCAGAAGCGCCTCACGGACGGCAAGATGAAGTCGATCGCCTTTATCCTCGACCCCGTGAGTGGGAGTAGCCCGGAGCAGGATCAGGATCAGGGGTGTGTCCGAGAGCCGCAGGCTGACGTTTTCCTTTGTCGGTCAATTTCTTGGGCCCTCTCTGCTCGGCCGTCGTCCATGACAGGACAACTACTGGATCGAGGTCATCCAGACGACGCGACCCCAGTGAGCTCGACGGCAAGCGAACAGTGCGTCGGTGCAGTGAGCTTCCTTGCCACCTCGGCCAGGTCTGCACCAGTCGGGCGTGGGTGGCGTCGAGCCCGATGCTGATGCCACGAACCGCCGTGTTCCTTCTTGGCACCCCGCTGACAGGCGGACGAAGATGTAGCTACGTAGTCGGCCAACTGGCCCGGGGTTGGATGAGAATGAGGAACTGAAGCAAGGAGAAGCCGTAGTGAAGTCGAAGAAATCAGAGAATGCGAGGCGAGCTGGCCCGCCTGCGTGGACACGGAGGCCTGAGCTCAGTCCGAAGGCAGACAAGGGTCCGGGACTCGGGGATGCCACAGGCCTGGCCAGGCGCGGGCGGTGCGCACGTTCGCTGCGGGCCTGCAGGCAGCGGTAGCCTCCACCTCATCGTGCGCCGGTGGGTGGGCAGCAGCAAAGGGCCTTAGCCTTCGAAGCGAGGCCAAGCCAGAGCGCAGCAAGCGCCCTAGCCTAACTCTCTCTCGAGGGGCGTACGTGCCACCTTCGGAAGACTGCGTTGCGATGCGGCTGCCTCCCGAGGCGAGCAGGGAAATAGCAAGCAAGCAAGCAAGCAAGCAAGGTGGCTGTGTTGCGGTACAGCACGGGTCACCTCCCGGGTGCATCGTGAAGGGTGGGTTGAAGAGGTACGTGCAACGAGGCAAACGAGTCGAGCAGCGCCGTGGTAAGTGGGGCGGGCGGCGTGAAAGGAGTGCCAACCCCCAACCGCTAAAGGCAGCCCAGCCCCGACTCAGCCCCCCGGCCTAGGACGACGAGGTACAAAAGCTTCAAAGCCATGGCTTCTCCTTGGTCGAGGCGAGCCGTGTCCCGCCCCCCTCTTCCACTACCATCCCCATCCTCATCTTCGCCTTCCTCGTCGTCGATTCGCTCCAAGGTGGCTCATCGACCAAGCAGCACCAGGACTGCAACCGCCACCACCACCGTCGTACCGCGACTCGACACACGCTCCTTGCTGTCCTCGTCGTCGTTGCCACCACCGCCACTCGCACTCCCACCGTCCGCACGCTCGAGCAACAACATGGCACCTCGTTCCGCTGCCGCCGTCGGCACCGCCGCTACCCTGTCGCTGGGCGCAACGGCCAGCTTTGACAGTCTGAGCGCAGCGAGCGCCCGGGCCACCCTCGAGACCTACACGGGCCTGCCGGATGCGAGGACGCGGGTGCGCTACGCCAAGACGGTCTTTGCGCGCCTCTACCTCCTCGCCATCTCGCGCCCCTCGGACGGATCCGTCGACGAGGGCATCTCGTTCCTCCACGTCCTCGACTCCGAGTCGGCCTCGCAGCAGCCCCTCCCCGTCATCGGGTCGTTCAAGAGTGGCCTTGTCGATTTCCTCGTCGACGAGGTCCGCTCCTACATCCAGCCGCTCACGACGCCCGATGCCGAAGACGAGAACCGGCTGCCCGAGTCGTTCTACGCCGCCGCCATGGCGACGGGGCTTCTCCTCGGCCGCCTCTTCGCCTCGACGCCCGCACCCCACGACACCTCCGAGATGTCGCAGCGCATCTGGGACTCGCTCGTCGAACCGGCCCTGATCCGCGGCCTGTTTGTCGACGAGCAGGCCGCCTCGTCGGCGCCCGCCAACGTCGCCCTGCTGCCCGCCCTCGTCGCCTCGTCGGCCGCGTCGATCCGATCCTACCTCCTCCTCCGGACCAAGGGGAGGGGGAAGCAGTACGTGTGGTACGACGACGAGTGCAAGCAGCCCGATGCCCAGTGGACGTGGGACGACGTCGTGGCGCAGCTCCAGCGCGGCTTCAACGCCCCCTTTGCGCCCAAGCACACCTACCCGGCCCACTGCAGCCAGTTCTGGCAGAAGGTCGCCTCCGACCTCGCCCAGACGACGGCCAAGGACGCAGACGCGCTCGCCGACGCAAAGACGCCCGACGTCGTCGCCCAGTTCGCCGCCGAGCCGTCGGTGCTGCAGTCCGAGTTCCCCGCCACCCTCAACAGCCAGGACCGCGCCAGGCAGCTGGCCACGCTGCTCCGCCACACGGCCGAGCGCGTCGAGGCCAAGTTTGGCGTCGGACAGGGGACGCCCAAGCCCAACACGTTCCTCTCGTTCCAGGGGCAGAGCTTCGACGACGACAAGGCCAAGCAGGCGCACGAGGCCGTGCAGAGGCTCGTCGAGTCGCTCCAGTTGTAGTCAGTATGTGCGGGGCTGCTTTGTCGGTCCAGAGGGCGGGCGTCGGCTCGGAGAGGAGCCCCGTAGGCGGCCGTCCGTCGCGACCGTAACTAGTCATGATGTCGTAGAGTCGGCATCGCTGATCGTCGGGGCGTGTCATTGCAGGAATAAGAAACGAGAACGCGGGATGCTCGGGCCGTGCTTGACGGTGCTGGTCGCCCGTCTGTCCCCCCTAGCCTGAGCCCAGCCGGAGCGTCATCACAAGGGCTCATAGGCACCTCGCCCACCGCCACCACCGCCACCGCCGCCAAAGCCCAGGCCGCCCGCGGAGCCGGAGCCGGAGCCGCCGGCGATGGACCGCCACATGTGGCTGGCGGCGTCGCGGGCAATGTAGGGCGACTCTCTCCAAAAGTCGCGGTGGGGCACGAGGTCCCATCCGGACGCGCCGTACTGGTTGTAGTTGTTGTAGGCGCCGAGGGCCATGTAGGCGAGGAAGCCGAACGAGACGAGGAAGAAGAGCCAGCTGAAGAAGCCCCAGCCCGCAGATGCGGCTGGTTCGGCTGGGTTGCTGTCGTCGCCCTTGCCGCCGCCGCCGCCGTCGCCGGATGAGGGCGATTTGGGGGGCGTGGACGAGGACGAGGAGCAGGCAAACTTGGTGGGCCACTTTAGGTGGAGCTTTCCCTTTGCGCGGTCGTAGGTCTGCGAGGTGGGGTGGGCGTTCTGGTCGGCCCTCGGGTCGCAGATGAGTTCGACCTCTGCCTTTTGCGCGCGGTCGGCGTAGGTTGCGCCGGGCAGCTCGAGGGTGAAGCCCCTCTCGCCGTCGTCGTGGTCGACCTCGACGTCGATGCGCTTGCCGCCGTCGACGTCGGACCAGGCTACGGGGATGGCCTGTGTGAGGGTGGTTTTGTCGTCCTTTATGCTCTCGATGAGGATGCAGATGCGCGTTCCCGGTGGACACTGGTCGCGCTGCGGCGTGGCTGGGTCGATGGGCAGCGGGTTGCAGAGGTCGATGAGGAGGGTGGTGCGCGTCTCTGTGGGAGGGGTGCGTTCGAGGTTGGACCAGGTGAGCGGGTAGTGTATGGATGAGAGGTCAAACGTGCGCTTCGATGCGGGGAGGGTGACCGAGTCGCAGGCGAAGGGAGAGAGGATGTGCTTGGCGGCATGGGCGGTGGGGAGCTGGGCGGCGGCTGCAACCAGAGCTGCGACGAGGGCGAGGGCGAGGGTGGTGGCGGTGGCGGTGAGGCGTGGCGTTGGCCGTGGTGCTGTCGTGTGATTGACCATGCTGGGCGCGCGCAGAAGATGGGTGCGCAAGGAGACAGAGGGCGGGCTTGAGTGTTGTTGCGCCGTGGTGGTGGTGGTGGTAGGAGGCGAGGGGGCGAGGGGTGAGAAGGCCGTGGTCGGGGCTGTGCTGTGCGGCCAGCCTGGCACGAGGAGCGGAAGTCGGGAGTCGAGTCGAACCAGGGCGAGGGCGAGGGGCGAGGGGCGATCAGCCAGACGCAGACCCGAACCTCCACAACGACTTGGAAAAAGGGCAGCGGACAGAGGGCCCCACACGCAAGGCTGCGCAGCCAAGCCAGACGCAGCCAGCCAGACGAACGCGTCGCCTTTGGTTGGTTGGCCAGGCCTGGCCAGGGCTCGCCTTCTCGAGCTGGCCTCGCCTCGCCTTGCCACCACCACCGCCCACCACTACCAATACTGCCATCTCCCTCTCCAGCGTCATCCCTCGTCGCCGCCATCGCCGCAGCATCGGTCCTTGCGTCTCTCTCTCTCATCCTCTGTCGACCCCAACCCATTCTCCCCTGGCTGCACCTCGCTCGCCACGCCGCAGCAACCTCTCCGTGCCGCCACCACCGCCCTCCCGGCAAGTGTGGCATATGACGACGCCACAGCAGCAGCTGCTGCCGCACATCCACCATGGTCAGTACAGACCCAGCCGCAAGTTGCCTGTACCGGCTCCGTCTTTCCCCCGCCGCCGTCTTGACGCTGACCCACTCAATGCTCCTCGTCTCCCTTGTTTTCGCGCCTCGCAGAGCGTCAGGAGTCGGGCAGCATGCTCTGCGCGCAGCATGCACTCAACGCCCTCCTCCAGGGACACTACTACGACGCCACACAGCTAGCGTGAGTTGAGCCGCCGTCGCCCATCCTCGGTCTCTCTTGGGACCACCGCGGCTGACTTGCCCCTTGCTTCTCTCTTCGCAGTGACATTGCACGCGACCTCGACCGCCTCGAGTCTGACCAGCTCGGCCTATCCTCGGCCGACGTCGCCGCGCGCGACCGCAGCAGCCTCAACATGGACGACACCGGCTTCTTTTCCGTCTCGGTCCTCGAGCGCGCCCTCCAGGTATGGGGCCTCTCCCTCGCCAGCTGGCGCTCCGAGGCCATGCGCTCCAGCCAGTCCCACCCAGAGCGCCAGCGCGCCTTTGTCCTCAACCTCGACACCCACTGGTTCACCATCCGCTCGTTTGGTCGCTCCGGCTTCTTCTGGTACAACCTCAACTCGTTCCTCGATCAGCCCTCGTGGATCGGCACAAACTACCTCGCCACCCTCCTCAACACCGCAGAGGCCGAGGGTTACTCGGTCTTTGTCATCTTTGCCAGCGAGGGCACCCTCAACGACTCGCTCAGCCAGTCCGACGCCGACCAAATCGCCGACCTCCTCCCCGCCTCGTCCGCCCAGCAGCAGCAGCAGCAGCAGCAGCAGCAGCCAGGCTCGGCGGGCGGTGCTGCCTCGAGCGCCACCGAGCTCGGCCTCAAGCCGCAGCCACAGCCAGCCGCATCGACTTCCACACAAGCGCCACCCCTGTTCGCGGGTGCTCTGGGGGCAGGCGCAAGTTCTGGTGCAGGTGCGGCCGACGAGGACGCCGATCTGCAGGCGGCCCTGCGCGCCAGCCTGGCCGACACGGCAGCGGCGAGTGGCGCCGTGTCTCCGGCGACTGCCGCGCGCCTACGCCGGGGTCGCAGCGGCAGCGGCTCCAACTCGGTCGACGGCATCGAGGGGCCCGAGACGGATGCCGACATTGACGCCATTGCGCCCAACCGACAGCGGCTGCGCTCCGGCCTCGCCGCCACCACCACCACCACGGGTGCGCAGGACGAAGACGAGGACCTGCGCCGGGCCTTGGAAGCCAGCCGGGTCTTGGAAGCCGGCCTGGCCTCGTCGCGGTCCTCCTCGACCTCGACGCCCGTGGCAGCGGCCAGCTCGTCGGCCATGGCGCTCGACACGCCGCCTCCACGCCAGCCGAACCGACGCCGACGACGGATCCAGCAGCGCAACCCGCTCGGGGGCAACTCGGCCGACAACGCCATCGACCTCGATGCGTCCATCTCGGACCGCGACAATGACGACGACGACGACAACGACGGCCAAGCTGCAGGCGACACGGCGTCGGCGGCGATGCTGCGTCGCTCTCCCTTTCTCTCTCCCGCCATGGCGGCGGCCAACCGCGACGACGACGACGTCGAGGACCTGCCCTCGGACGACGACGACATCGACCCGTTCAGCGTGCCGGGCGCGCCCGAGGCGTCGGCGTTGCTTGGCAGGGGCGAGAGGTACTATGACGACGAGGACCAGCAGCTTCAAGCCGCGCTGGCCGCCAGCCTGGGAGACGAAGAGGCGGCAGCAAGGTACGCCGCTACCGGATCCGTGCCCAGCATTGCCACGTCGGGTGGCGGCGGCGGCGGCGGTGGGATGGGAGAGGCGATGGCGGGGACGGTCGAAAAGACGCCCGAGGACGTGGATCGTATTTGGAGGATGAGGGAGGAGAGCCGTCGGAAGGAACAGGAGAAGAGGGAGAGGGAGGAGCGTCGGGCCCGCGGTGTGCTTTCGCCCTCGCCTCCGCCGCCATCCACCGGCCCGGCGGGGGCGTCGGGCAAGGACAAGGAGGATGGCGACGATGACGATGATGATGACGAGGATGATGAGGAGGAGGCGGAAGAGGTCAGTCCGGAAGAGATGAGGAGGAGGAGGCTGGCGAGGTTTGGCTGATGCCCCAGCCCCCACGGCCGTCATCGTCGTTGGTGGGGATGGTGGCGGCTGTCATTGTCAATCATCGACCGAGCAACCCTCGTCATGCGAGCCCCGTCTACATTTCCCTGGCTCCGGCGCGCTCCACGCGCCCCGTCTTCCGTGAGCTACTGCCTGCTGCTCACTTGTCCGGCCCTGACCTGACCCTATCGCAGCAGCCGCCTCTGCCGCTGCCTCTACCGCTGCGGCTGCGGCTGCTACGACGGCTGCTGCGGGTGCTCCTGCCCAAGAGCGCAGAGGAAGCGCGCCACGACGTCCCTGCCCCTTCTGAGGTTGACGAGGCGGATACGCTCGTTGGGCAGGTGCGCCGAGTCGCTGCTCTGGCCCATGGGGAGGTGCACGGCCTCGGCGCGCAGCTCCTTTTCGAGGATCGCAATGGCGGGGATGCTGCCGCCCTCGCGGATGCTGATCGGCCCGCCACCGCCATCGTGATCGGGCGACGACGACGACGAGAGACCCCACACGTCGCGCACGGCGCGCTCGAGGTGGGTGAAATAGGGCGACGAGGAGCCCGACCACCAGTCGGCGCGGTGCTCGACGACGACGTGCACCGCGTTGGCCGACCCGCCAGCGCGCAGGCCGGCAAAGACGTTGTCGATGTGGCGCTGCAGCGCCGACTCGATGGCCGAAAGCGACTGGTCCGGCACGATGCGCAGACTCACCGTCGCGCTCACCTTGGACGGGATCACGGTGCTGTTGCCCGGCCCGCTCACCCGCAGGTGGTGCACCGACAGCGACGGGTGCCGCCACTTGGCCATGAGCGACTGCGCGCACGCCGCCACGGCCTCGGCCGTCGAGGCCGACGAGGGCTGCGCCGCCTGCAGCTTGATCCGCGCGATCGACTCGTACTGCGCCACCTCGGCCGGCGTCACTGGCCGCACGGCGTCGTAGAAGCCCGGAATTGTCACCTGCGCACCAGACGAGAGGCTCGAAAGCAGCTTGACCATCTAATCGACGAGGAGCGAGGAGCGAGGAGCGAGGAGCGGGCCGCGGAAGAGAACTTAAGGTCAGCAAGGAAGCATCTCACCGTTGACAGGCCAAAGACATCGGGTTTTCGCCATCTCTGCCATGCTGCACCGCACCGCACACTAACATCGATCATGGGCTCCCTCACCGCGCCGCCCTCGACGCCCGAGTGGACATCGGGCTCGTCGCCGCTCACTTCGATCGTGGCCCGCACCACGCCCCTCAGCCCGACGGTGAGGCACGGCGTGTCCTCGCCGAGCCAGTACGAGTTGGACAGCAGGATGACGTCGATATGGCCGATGTCGTCTTTGTGGGCGCGGACCGCCTCGGTGAAGCCGATGCTGCCGGTTTCCTCCTCGCCCTCGATCAGGAAGACGACGTCGGCGTCGAGCTGCCGCTGCGAGAGCAGCTGGCTGGCCGCGCAGGCGGCGGCGAGGATAGGGCCCTTGTTGTCCGACACGCCCCGCCCGTACAGGTAGCCGTCTCGGCCGTCCATCTGGAACGGGTCGCTGTCCCACTGTCCTTCGGCGTCGATGCAGTCGTAGTGGCCGTAGAAGAGGCACCGCTTCGTCGGCGGTGGGGACGAAGACAAAGGCCCGCTTCTACCGTCCGCGGCATCTGCGTCTACGCCTGTGGCGGCAGTGGCATCTCCTCTGTCCTGCTCGCTCGGTCTCCGGCTCCGACTGAGGCTGCGGCTGCGGCTTTGCGACCCGTTGGCCTTGAACGTGGCGAGGACGAGCGGGTTGCGTCCCGGCAGGTTGGCCAGGATCTTGGCCTCGGCACCCAGGCCACTCAGGCAGGCCTTGAGAAAGTGGGCCGCCTGGCGGCAGTCCTCGCGGTTTTCCTCGACCGACGACACGCTGCGGTATCGCACAAACTGCGCCAGGCTCGAAAGCAGCGTCGACGACCCGGGCGCACTCGGCACAGCTGCGGCAGATGGCGTCTGATCTCGGCTGCCGCCGCCGTCGACTGCGTACTCAGACGACCGGCCCGCCCCGCCGTCCCTCTGCGGCAGGTTCCAGATCTTGATGAGATCGTCGCTGGACCCCGTCACGAGCTGGAGCACGGGCCGAGGTCGGTTCGGCTGCCCGGGCGGCACGGGCTGCCGGATCGACGCGAGCGAGAGGATGATGCCGTCGTGCGCCTTCCACTGATCGGTGCATCGGAACGAGCGATCCCACCGCCGGATCCTCCCGTCGGCAGAGGCGGTGAAGAGGCAGCCGTCGTACGAGCAGGCCTCGAGCGCCAGCACGTCGTCGTCGTGGGCCCGCAGCGTGCGCACCAGCGTGCACGTCTCGAGGTCCCAGACTTCGACATCGCCGCCCTGCAGCCCAGCGAAGAGGGTGCTCTTCCACGACGCCAGCGCCATCACTGCATTGCCGTCGGTGTTGGGGCTTTCGAGCGTTGCCAGATGGACGAGTCCCTCGGGCGTGGCATGCCACAGCTTGACGGCCTCGTCTCCCGATCCGGACGCGAGCACCTTGCGGTGCGGGTGATCGCCCTCGAGCGTGAGGATGGCAAACGTGTAGATGTAGCCAAAGTGGGCGCTGGGGACCGAACAGGCCGGCGGCACTACGAGCGTCTCCACCACGGCGCCGTTCTCTGCAGAAGCATCGACGGCCCTCTTAAACGACGAGTCAGGATCAAGGACGGCTGCTTCAGGGTGCCGCAGAGCATCTGGCACTGTCAGCGACATGTCGCTTAGCCTCGCAGAAGCTGCCGAGATGACTTCGTCCGTTGCCGCGCCGGGATGCTGTGCATGAGGCCGAGTGGCCGGGCCCGTCGCTTCCGGTCCTGCGGCTCTGATGCCGCCGCCATCGCCATCGGCGTTGCCAAGATGGCCCTCTGAGATCCGCGATCTCAGTAGCGGCGGCGGCGGAGGCTGTGGGGTGGCGCTGCCCCCTGTACCAGCGCCTCTCGCGGTCTTGCCGCTGGCAGCTGCAGCCGACGCTGCCGTGGTGTTGGTGGACCGGCTGCGCGAGAGCGACACCGAGTCAAAGAAGCGGTGGGGTCTCGATACGGGAAAGGCTCCGGGCGTGGCAACTTTTGGGCTGTCGGAGCCGCGCAGCTGCCCGCCGTGTGCCGATCCTCGTACCGCCAAGCCCCCAGCTGGCGTCGCTGTCGCAGCGCCCGGCTGCGTCGCGGCCTGGCTGCCATTCGAGGCCGATGAAGCGATGCCTTCGAGGCAGATCCACTGGATTGACGTGTTCTGGCACCCGAGGTAGAGGGTCTGGAGCTCGCTGCACCACTTGAGCGCAAAGATGTCTCCCACGTTGTCCTCTGCCGGGTAGACGACGTAGAGCGGGCGGAGCGAGTGTGTGTCCCAGATGCGGACGGTGTTGTCGCCCGAGGAGCTGAAGAGCCAGTTTCTTTCGGGTGCGAGCTCGAGGGCGAGAACGCTGCCGGTGTGGCCCTCGAGGCGGGTCGTGCGCTGGTAGGTGGCGAGGTCCCAGACGTAGATGCACTCGGACTGCGATCCGCTGAACACGAGGCCACGCTGCTCGTCGACGGCGAGCGAGAGGACGGACGAAGAATGGGTGATGGTGTGATGAAGGGAGGCGGATGCGGCCGTTGACGATGACGATGACACGGCCGAGGCTGTCAAATGGCGACCTGGAAAGTCAGGGTGGCCCTGGTGGCGGTGGTGGTTGTGATGGGAGCCTGGAGCCGAGCTGCGGTGCCTGTGATCCGCGAAAGCGTAGCTGCTGCCGCCGCCGCTGCTGTTGCTGCTGCTGTTGTACGGATGTCCCGATGCCGCGTCGTCGGAAGCCGTGGGATGGGTGCGCTGGTAGGGTGCGTCTCCTCGGTCCAAGGCCGATGGGCCTGCGCCGCCGCTCCGTGGGGGATAGGCATCTGTTGCAATGCTAGCCGTCGCCTCAAAGGGGTTGTCGGAGAAGCCGCGCGGGCGGTGGTCGTAGTGCACGTTGGGCGAGCACATCGTCAAGCGGAGCCTCGGCCGGTTTCGGCTCAGGCCGCTCCGAGACTGCGCTCGTCGGTCGGGGAGAGATCAGGCAGTCGGACGTGCGGGAGCGACCCGAACAGCGTCAAGAGGAGGCCTCACAGGGGTTGATATGAGGACCAGGAGGATGTAGAGTGGTCCGAGGAGCGAGGAGCGAGGAGCGAGGAGGGTGAGGAGCGGAGGGGAGGAAGCGAGGGCGGCCGAACCAAAGTCGTCGAGGGCCAGGCTGGCTCGACCTCGGCCAAGGCGTCAGGATGTGGAGTCAGAGCCAGGCCTGCCGGGCGGGGCAAGGCTGGGCCAGGCCGGACCTGCACAGCACCCTCAATCGGGCCCAGACCGATGGCAAGGCAGGCAGCCTGCGACATTGGCAAGGCGCACGGCCTCACCTGGCCTGTGCTGGTGGCGCACACCAGGCTGCGAGCGCGGCCGACGAGGATGGTGTGATTGCAGCCGCATGGGTGCCCGGCCCGTTGGACGGCACGCCATCATGCCAGCCGTTGCGGCACCTACGGCGTCCGAGGGCCAAATGTGAGGAGAAGGCACCGAGGCATCGGGCGTGCCCGCCCGTCCGTCGTGGCTTGCTCTCTGCTGTCGGTTCCGCTGCTAGCCAGCCCGGTGCTGGCAGGCTCAGAAAAAAAGTTGGACGTGGGCTGGCTGGGCCAGGACCGGCGGCGGCGGCGGCTTGGTTTCAGGTTGGGTGCTGGTTTCCTTCTCGCTGCGTGCCTGCTGGCTCCTCCACCTTGCCTCGCCCGTCTCTCTGGCTTCGCACTCCCATCACCGCCTACCACCACATCGCCCACCGGCGTCGCTCCCTCTCTCGCCGCCGTGCTCTGCACCAGCCCCTCTCCCTGTCGGCTCTCTCGGTAGTCTGCCAACGCAGCTGCACGCTGGTGTCGAGCTCCCGATCCGGCATCGTCCTCGGTCTGCCAGCCCGGGACCGCCTGCCTCCTCTCTACCCTCCCTTTGCTTGCCGCTCCGCTGCCCGCCATGCCGCCCCGCGCCTCTTCGTCGTCCGGCGGCGGCCGCAGCGGCAAGCTGAGCGACATCGAGAACCAGTTCTACCAGGCCGCCCTCTCGGCGCCCAACAAGACCATCACCCAGGATGACCTCTCCGAACGCTTCCGCACCGTTCCCATCGAGGAGCAGCTCGGCGCCATCAATGGTCTCCTCAAGAAGAACCTCTTCACCGTGCAGAAGAGCGCAGACACCATCCAGTACCTCGCCACCGCAAAGAACGAGGCCAGCATGATGGGCAAGCTCGACGAAAATGAAAACATCGTCTACTCGCACATCAAGGACTCGCGCAACGAGGGCATCTGGACAAAGCAGCTCAAGATCCGCACGGGGCTCCACCAGACCATCATCAACCGCTGCCTCAAGTCGCTCGAGCAAAAGCAGCTCGTCAAGGCCGTCAAGTCGGTCAAGTACCCCACCCGCAAAATCTACATGCTCTACGGCCTCACCCCCTCCACCGAGCTCTCCGGCGGGCCGTGGTACACCGACAACGAGCTCGACACGGGCTTCATCAACGAGCTATCCATGGCCTGCCTCAACTTTATCCGATCCCGCTCCTTTCCCAAGAACGGCATGTCGCGCGCCCTCTTTCCCTCGTCGCAGACGTCCAAGCTGCCCTCGGCCGACACGGTCCACGCTTACCTCCGCAATTCGGGCCTCACAGAGACCCAGCTCGAGCTCGAGCACGTCGTTTCGCTCCTCGACATCCTCGTCTACGACGAACAGGTCGAAAAGATCCCCGTCCTGCCCTTTGCCATGGGCGGGCTGAGCCTGTCCAACGGCCGCGGCGCCGACCACGACAGCGACTCGGACAGCGACGCGGGCAGCCGGAGTGGCTCTGAGTCCGGAGACAGCGGCAGCGGCAGCGATAGCGACAGCGACAGCGGCTCGGACAGCGGCTCAGACGACGACAGCGACTCGGGCAGCGAGTCTGGCTCCGCCTCGAGCGCCTCGCGCACTCGCAGCGGCAGCGAGAGTGGCAGCGACAGCGGCAGTGACGACGACGACGACGCGTCGTCCTCGGCCAGCGACGACGAGGGCGGACGTGGCTCGAAGAAGCGGAAGCGGTCGTCGAAGTCGTCGAGCAAGTCACGCAAGCGGGGCAAGAAGGAGTCGTCGTCGTCGTCATCAAAGAGCAAGAGCAGGAGCAGCAAGAGCGGGCGAAAGAGCAAGAGCGAATCGTCCAAGTCCAAGGCAAAGACGCGCTCCAAGTCCAAGTCCAAGAGCAACAGCAGCAGTGGCAGCAAGCGGTCTTCGTCGTCGTCGAAGAAGCGCTCTTCGTCCAAGGGCAAGTCGAAGTCGTCGGCACGCGACCGCGACCGAGACCGGAGCAAATCGCGATCCCGCTCGCGCTCCCGCTCGCGATCGCGTTCCAAGTCGCGCGCCGCCAGCCCCGCAGCGTCGTCGCAGGGCGAGTCGGACGGGCCCGACATCGACGCCATGGACGGCTCGACGCGGGTGCCGTTCGTCTACCGCGCCGTGCGGCCGCTGTCGGTCCGCGTGGGCTGGACCGAGGTGCCGTGCGGCCACTGCCCCGTGTTTGACTTTTGCGACGAGTCCGGGCCCGTCAATGCCGAGTCGTGCCAGTACTATGGCGGGCTCGAGGACGAGCTGGGCAGGAAGGTGGCCGACGGCTGGGTCGACGCTGCCGTCGCCGAGGAGGACGAGGAAGAGGAGGAGGGTGACGAGGGCGAGGGCGAGGATGGGGAAGGCGAGGGAGGGGACGTGGACGACGAGGGCGGCGCGAGGTGACAGAAGGCCGCGTGGAACGAGAGACTAGGCGGGCCCGTGAATGGTGCCCGTCGTCGCCGCGCTTCGGCGCCCGTACGCCGCCGCCGGCGCATCTACCAAATCCAACCTGTACTTTTACGCATGCACGCACGCACGCTTCCGCGCACCCAGGCGCACACGCCATGTCGAAAGCAACGACATCCACAGCCTGAGCCTGCCCAGCCGCTCGATCGATCGGCACAGGCGTAAGACGGGGGCGGCGCGAGCGCGAGAGGGTGAGAAAACGAAGTGCATGGCATCCACAACAACGACGACAGGACGAGGGATTCGAGACTCTTTCGCTCGATCAACGCTTGACCCAGCTGTGAGGGACAGAGTAGGGGGCCAAGAAAGATCAAGAAGGGATGGGCGAAAAGTCAGCCTGGTACGGATCACGACGTGCGCTGCAGATGAGGCAAAGAGCAGCGACGACAAAGACGACAACGCCGCCGCGGATACGCACGTGTAAGCCTTTCTGGCCTTTGCGAGGCCCGTCTTTTTCCTCTCGACGACCCTGGGGTCGCGCTTGAGGACGCCGTCCTTTGCGAGGACGCGGCGGGCGACGGCCTTTACGTCGAGCCTGGTCTTTTCGTCGTGGATGTCTTGGCCGACGAGGGTGACGAGGGCGTTGGAGATGCCGTGGGCGATGGCGGCGGCCTGTCCCGAGGTGCCGCCGCCGCGGACGATGGCAAAGACGTTGTAGCCTCCGAGCGTGCCCGTCAGCTTAAAGGGCCAGGTGACGGTCTCGCGGTCGGTGTTGCGCGTGAAAAAGTCGGGCAGGGGCGTGTTGTTGACGAGCACCTGGCCGCCGATGTTGGCGGGGGTCGAGGCGGGCGCGGACGACGACGAGGCGGGGACGAGCCAGACGCGGGCGCTGCTCTCCTTTCTGCGTCCGCGGGCATAGGCGCGTCCGTGCTGGTCAATGACGCCCTTTCCGTTTTTGAAAGCCTTTTCGCCCGTCGACTCGAGCTCCTCCTTGGCCGCCTCGTTCATGTACCTGGCGAGGGTCTCGACAAACTTGGCGGCCACGTCGCGCTTGTGCCTGTCATCGGCGGCGGGGGCGAGGTGCTCGGCGACGAGGTGGCGGAAGCGGGCGAGGAGGGCGAGGCGGGTGACAATCTGGCGGTACTGGGATGCCTTGAGCTGGGTGCCGACGACGGTGGCGAGCTTGTCGCGCGAGAGCCAGAGGTTCCTGCGGCCCGTCTTGGGTGCGGGCGGCGGTCCCGAGTTGTTGGGGAGGACGTGGGCGAGGGTGAGGGTGCGCCTTACGGAGAGGTAGAGCGAGTCGAGTTGGAGGATGGTGTCGATGTAGAGGGGGCGGCCGGTGTAGTAGCTCGGCGAGGCGGGCTTGAGCCGCGAGGGGAGCGGGGCGACGGGTGGCAGCTGTGGAATGGGTGCGCGCGACGAGTATCCCGACGAAGAGGAGGACGAGGACGACGAGGCAGATGACGACGACGACGACGCCGACTCGGTGGAAGCGTATCGTCGTGCGGCGGGTGCAGCGGCTGGGGCAGACGCAGGGGCGCGGGTGGCGACGAGGCGGGCGAGCGCCTGCGTTGTGCGGCGTGCTGGTGCCGCCATGGTGATAGGTACGGCGATGGTGGACAAATCGCCTGGTGAACAGACGCGCAAGGGGGGTAGCGGGGCGTGGTAGCGGTGATGGCTGCTGATGGCGAAGAGTGGGGCGAGCGTGGCCCTCATCTTCTGACGGAGGCTTGCGGCTGGCTGAGGCTCTCTGCAGGAGGCCGCCTTTGCCAGATCGGATCCTGGGCTGCCCGAGAGCGCGGTCCCGGCTCCGAAAAGAAAAACAGGCTAGGCTAGGTCGCGGGCCCAGCTGCACCGCTGCGCTCCACCTGGCCGCCTGCCCTGCCGCCAGAAGAAAAAAAGAGGCCGAGGCCAAGCGAGGCAGGCAGAGGCAAAGGCGGGCGAGCAAGAAAACTTCTCGCAGCGCGCTGCAGCCACACAGACACACACGCACAGAGAGCCAACACCGTACCGCACCCGTACCCGTACCGTACCCTGACCCGCCTCGGGGCCAGCTGAGCGGTCAGGTCGACTTGTGTACAGCAGGGTGGCGGCGGAGGGGCCACCACGGCGGCGCGCCATACCGGCACCAGACGGACTGGCCAGCCCAGCCCTCAACGGGTTGGGCCCAGTCTGCCTCCGCATCTCATCTGGCCTCTTGACCACCACCCCCACCACCACCGACACGGTCACCCTCTCTCTCTCTTCTCCCCGTGTTCCCCTCTCCCCGGGACCCTAACCTCGTCCCCCCCCCGCCCTCGTCTATGCACAGGGCATTCTCCGCCGTCGTCGCTCTCAGACCGTGGCTCTTGCAATCCCTCCTGACCCCTGCCCGTCCCTCGTTCGCAGCACCGCCCCGCTCGCACCTCTTGCGCACCATCTTTACCATGAACTCGTCTAACAACGGACAGCACCGCGGCCCAGCCCGTGGCGGCGGAAGGAACAGGGGCCGCGGCGGCCGCCCGCAGCAGCAGCAGCAGCAGCAGCAACGTCACCGTCACAACGACTCGGTCGTCTCGACGACGGCCAACACGCCCGTCGCATCCGGCACCGCCACCCCCGTCAAGATGGAAGAGCTCGACGCTTCGTCCGAGGGCGGACACCTGACCGCCACCCAGTTCAGCTCGCTCCGCGGCAAGATCGACGACCGCCTCCTCAACGCCATCCCCTTTACCCACATGTCCCAGGTCCAGGCCGCCACCCTGCCCACCGCCCTCTCGGGCCGCGACGTCCTCGCCCAGGCCAAGACCGGGACGGGCAAGACGCTCGCCTTCCTCATCCCTTCGATCCAGCGCCTCCTCAGCCTCGACACCCCGCCGCCCGCCTCGGCCGTCTCGGTCCTCGTCCTCTCGCCCACCCGCGAGCTGGCCCTCCAGATTGAGCGCGAGGCCCACATGCTCCTCGCCAACCTCCGCGGCAGCATCGAGGTCCAGCACGTCGTCGGCGGCACAAACATCCAGACGGAGCGCACCCGCCTCAAGGCCAAGCGCAAGGACCTCCTCATCGCCACCCCCGGACGCCTCCTCGACCACCTCGACAACGCCACCCCGGACCTCAACCTCCGCGACGCCTTCCAGAACCTCCAGCTCCTCGTCCTCGACGAGGCCGACCGCATGCTCGACATGGGCTTCCGACAGGACCTCGAAAAGATCCTACGCGCCATGCCCGCCCAGCGGCCCGGACAGCACCGCCAGGCCCTCTTTTTCTCGGCCACCATCCCCTCGTTTGTGCACGAGGTCAAGCTGCTCAAGCCCGACCACGCCTTTATCTCGACGCTCAAGGAGGAGGAGGTCAACGTCCACCAGCACGTGCCCCAGGAGGTGGCCATCGTGCCCCTCCACCGCGCCATGCCCTTCCTGCTCCTCTGCCTCCTCGCCGAGGCGCGCCGCTACCCGGACACGCACAAGGTGCTCATCTTCCTGCCGACGGCGCGCGCCACGTCGCTCTACGCGTCCATCTTTGCCGACCTGGCGCGCCACCCGGCCTTCAAGGCGCTCGGCCCCGTTTTCGAGATCCACTCGCGCAAGTCGCAGTCGGCGCGCACCAGCACCATGGCCTCGTTCCGCACGTCGGCGTCTGGGCTGCTGTTTTCGTCGGACGTGACGGCGCGCGGCGTCGACATCCCCGGCGTCTCGCTTGTCGCCCAGGTGGGCCTGCCCATGTCGTCGGAGCAGTACATCCACCGCCTCGGCCGCACCGCGCGCGCCGGCAAGGACGGCCGGGGCGTGCTGATCCTCTCGCCGCACGAGGAGTGGTTCCTGCGCAGCCCCGAGGTGGACCGGCTGCCCATCAAGCCCATGGACACGGCGGCGCTGCGGGCCGAGGGCGCGGCGGCGGGCACGCCCGTCGAGACGTGCAACGACGCCGTCGACGCCGCCATGGTGGCCACCGACGCCTCGGCGCGCTCGCAGGCGTACCAGGCACACATGGGCTACTACAAGTCGTTCCTCAAGGCGTGCCGCTGGAAGCCCGAGGACCTGATCCAGCACACCAACCACTATGCCTACGCGACGCTGCTGTGGAACCAGTCGCAGGTGCCGTCGCCGGCGTCGGAGGCCGAGAGGGCCAACGACGCCGCGCCGCTGCCCGCCGGCTTTGTGCCGCCGCCGCTGCTGGCCAAGACGGTGGGCATGATGGGTCTCAAGACGTACCGATCGCTCCTCAACGTCGTGCAGAGCCTGCCGGACAAGGAGACCGGCGGTGGAGGTGGTGGTGGTGGGCAGCAGGGGCAGGGGCAGAAGCGCGCCAGGGGCGTGCCTGGCGGCGGCGGCGCGAGCGGAGACGACGGTTCGTCGCGTGGTGCGCCCCGTCGTGGTGGTGGTGGCGGCGGTGGTGGGGCGAGGGGAGGACGAGGAGGAGCGCGCCCGCGCCGTGGCGGTCCCCCCGCCTAGCAGGCCGTGCGCACGCCTCTGCCTCGCTCCCGCGTCGGCATCAATGCCTGTCTCTTCTCGTCCTGTTTTGTCTTGATTAATTCGGGCTGGTCCAGTTTGGATCACACAAAATCTCATGGGGACAATGCCGCACCGATGTCGGTCGTGATGCGTGGCGAAGGCGAGGCGAGGCGAGGCCTGCGACGGCACGAGATGCGTTGAAGATCAAAGGGTGCCACGACGGGCTGTGTGTGAGGCGAGCCGATGGGAGCGAGGGGCTGAGCCGAGAGCTGAGGTCAGAAGCCGCCGTCTCCCGAAGAACCGCGCAACCTCGGCCAACCTTCTCAGCCTCCACCTAATTTTCTCCCTATCGCGCCGAGTCGTGACTTTGCGTGGGCCACTTTCCCACTTCCCAACCCCTCGAACCACGACCAACGACTGCTGTCCACTACCGGACCATCACGACGCGGCCCGACGCGACACACACACACACCCTCTCTCTGGCCGCCGTCTCGCCGACCTCGGCCACCATGACGACGACGGCAGCGACGACGCTGACGGCCCAGCTGCTGCAGCGCTCGCTGCCCCACATCCCCTCGTACGGCTTCACGCAGCGGTGCGTGGCCGCGTCCAACCCGGACGTGGCGGCGCACACGATCTCGTCGCTCTTTCCGGGCCCGGATACGGCGTCGACGTCGGCGCCGCGTCGCCTCTTCCACGCCTACGACGAGCATGCGCTCCACTCCGTCCTGCCGTCCCTGGACGAGGGAGCGGGGAGGGAGGTGAGGATGTCCCCGCCCAGCGAGCAAGAGGAACGAAAGAGGTACGACGATGTCGTCGAAAAGCTCGTCGAGCGGTTACGCCGCAGCTGGGACGTCAGGGGTGCACTGGTCGACGTGAGTCTTGCCTGTCCTTTCTGCGGACAGGATGACCGCATGCGGACGAGATGAGCCGGAAGCTGACGGCATCGATTGCTCTTCTCCTCGACCCCCACCTTTCAGGGCCTGGCCAACGAGGCGCGCCACCCGATAACGCACCTGCTCCCACTGGGCCGCTGGTCGTTCGATACGATCCCGACGCCACTGCCGCTGCTGCAACGCAGCCAGGCCATCACGGCGCGCATCCTGACCCACCCGTCGCTGCGGTACGCCGAGTCGGACACGACGCAGTGGTACGCGACGCGGGCGCGCCTGGCGTTTGCCTTTGTCGTCGCCGAGCTCCACGTGGCGAGCCAGCGCGCCGAGTGCGAGGCGTCGCAAGACCTGCTGCGCCGCGTCGCCCACGCGCGCGATACGAGCGTGCTCAGCGACGTGCTGCGGCTCAGGGGCGACGCCAACGAGTGGATCCGATGGGGCGGCAGGGGATGGGTGGGCACGCTGAGGAGTTGGGGTCTGTAGAGGCTGCTATGTTGACAGACAGAGAGGGAGGGAGGGACAAGGGACAAGGGACCAGAGTAGCACGGTTTCCCGTCATGTCGTGGATGGATGCTTCCAAAGTGGCCCGCGACGACGACGTCGAGCTGGCCAGGCCGCCTGTCGACTCCGGAGCTAACGCGGCCGACGCATGAAGGCGACCAGGTCGACGACGCACGATTGCCGCCCCCCGTTGGTCAGGACAGGAGCGGGCGCTCCTCCTGCCGTCGTGGGATAGTATCGCCGAATGTGCGTGGCGGGACGGAAGCCAAGGGCCCATCTCTGCGGCAGGCCCTCACCTCGTCTCGTCTCGTCTCGTCTCGTCTCGTCTGGCCGTCAACGCCGACGCCGTCACTTTGGCTAGATTTGATTTCCTTTCCTTTCCGCCGGCAGTAGGACTGCTTCCCGCTGCTCATGCCCATCCCCATGCCCCCGCGCCCATGCCCATGCCCGAGCCTGAGCCCGAGAGCAAGCCCAAGCCGTCGGAAGTGAGTAGCGGTGCGAGGTCATATCAGGCCAGGCCAGGCTGGGCTAAGTCCGAGCAGGTAGCTGCTTCGATACCGACGCCGCCGATACCAGACGAGCGGCAGATAGAGCGAGAGAGAGAGAGAGGTGGAGGCCGCGTAGCTGGCCACCCTCGACGAAGCGCGCACGGACACGCCGTCGGGGATAACTGGACCCAAGGTATGTATATAACCCCCCAGCCTCGAGCCCGGACGTTTCCTAGTCCACCCATTCCAGTCCGCAGCCATACATCCTGTCGCTCCCTCTTGCACACACCCTTACTCGATAGCACAACAAGCAAGCCACCATGTCCAACGCACAGCAGCAGGCCCAGACGATCCTGGTGACGGGAGCCAACAAGGGAATCGGGTACGAGGCGGTGCGCCACCTCTCGGAGGTGCTGCCGCACTCGACCATCCTCCTCGGCACCCGCTCCGTCCGCAACGGGGACGAGGCGATCGCCAAGATGCGTTCGTCGTCGACGGCGGCGGCGCACGACTACGCAAACATCAAGGTGCTCCAGCTCGACATCACCGATGCCGCCTCGCTCGCAGCGGCCGTCAAGACGGTCGAGACGGACCTGGGCGGACGGCTAGACGTGCTCCTCCACAACTCGGGCATCGCCCAGGTGGACGGCGTCGCCAACCACGCCGGAGTGCTCGAGGTAAACGTCTACGGCGCCATCGAAACCGTACACGCCTTCCTCCCCCTCCTCCGCCGCTCCTCCAACCCCAAACTCGTCCTCGTCTCGTCCGAGGTCGGAGCGTGGTACATGCACACCCTCTCGTCGTCGTCGCCCGCGCTCCACGCCGCCCTCGACGACGCCACCGCCAATGACGAGGAGAGCGTCCGCAAGATGGCGCAGGACTGGATCGACTTCGCCATCCAGGGCAACAAGGAGCCGCGCTGGACCTGGCCCGATGCCGAGTCAAGGATGACGGGCGCTTACTGCACCAGCAAGGCCCTCGTCTCGGCCTGGACGCGCAACTTTGCCCTGCGCAACCCGGACGTAAAGGTCGCCATCGTCTGCCCCGGGTACGTACCCTGCCTCGCTTCCCCTGTCTCTTTTTCCCCTTCACCTCCAACCCCGAGCTCACCATCCCCCTCCCCATCCCTCTGTTGCATTGACAATGACGACAGGTACTGCGCCACGGAACTCAACAACTTTTCCGGACCGCGCTCGGCAGCCCAGGGCGGCGAGAGCGTAGCCTGGCCCGTGCTCCACGACGACTTCGAGTCTGGCCGCTTCTACCGCGACGGCAAGCTGCGTCCCTTCACCAGCGCCATGCCCGACGACTTTGCCACTTCGACGGATTAGGCCCCCCGGGCAGAGCCCCAACTGAGCGTCCCAAGCTGGTCTGGTTGCGATGCGGTGCGATGCGGTGCGGTGCGATTATGATAGAGCAGAGGAATGCCAGCACTGGCCTGCCGAAACGATGTCTAACACGTCCAGATGAGCATGGTGCAATGGCCCGATCGCAAAGCGAAAGGAAGGGGGGCAAGGGGTCCCCCCTCCTCACTGTATCCGCACGAGGAAGGAAGCGTGGACCGGGCGATGGTCGCTGAAGCGCACCTCGGGGATGCTCTCGTACCGCTGCAGGACGATGCCCTGCCTCTGCCGCTTGGCATGCGCAGCATCGACGTCGGCATCCGCATCCGCGTCTTGCCTCTCCTTGTCCGTCTCCATCTCTGTCGCTCTCCCGTCGCTCTCCGCCTGCCGCTCCTTGTCCAGCTCCGTCGCCTTGCGCTCCCGCTCCCGCTCCCGCTCCCACTCCCACTCGGCCGTGACGCACCACAGCACGCGATCCGTCCAGGCGGGCGTGCGCCTCTTTTCGCTCGTGTCGTACCGGTCCGTGCCGCGGTCAAACTTGTACGTCGGCGCAAACGCCAGCGCGCCCTCGTCAAAGTCGTCAAACAGGCTGCCGCTGCGGCGCAGCGAGAAGAGCTCGTCGTACCGCGACAGCAGCGCATAGTCGCGCTCCTGGATCAGCCGGTGCACCTCCCGGTTGTCGAGGTCCAGTCGGAAGTTGAGGTCGCCCATGTTGAGGATGATGCTGTGCGGCGGATCAGGTTGGTTGGGCCAGGCGCCGATACCACAGCGGTCAGTCCAGTGTCCGGAAGCGGGACGGGGGCGTAAACGACACCGGTGGAGCGACGGAGGGCCGGGCCCGACAACGGGCAGAAAGAAGAGACACTCACTCGTGATCCCGGATGGAGTACTCGGCCACCTGTGGGTCCTGCGGCTTCCAGGCGGCCGACGTGTCTGCATCGGCGTTGTCCTGCTGCACGGCGGCTGACCCAGTGGGCTGAGTGGGGTCGCTGAGGGCGCGCTCGGCGACGGCTCGTGCCAGCGTCGCTGCAGCCTCTGCCGTCGCTGGCGCGTTCGCCTCGCTTCCGGCGGGCACAGCGGCGTCTCCCCCTGCCGCCACCGCCGCCTCCTTAGTCGACGATGCTTCCCCCGCTCCTTCCTGGCTCGAGGTCGCATCGCCAGGCGAGGCAATCTTTGGGTCCTCTGGATCGGGCGACGGCGGCAGTGCAATCTGCTCCGCCGCGTGGTCAGCATCCACACCAGCGCCACCTTGGCCTTCGTCTTCCGTCACGGCCTCCGACGTGACCCTGAACCTCATCCGCCGGTAGATTTCGCTCCAGTCCCAGCACCGGCGCTCCATGGCCTGCAGCCCCTCGAAGGCCGAGAGGTGCGAGTTGACGAGGCAGATGGAGCGGCGGCCGAGCTGCATGCGCACCGCCACGGCGCCCTTGTTGGCGACAAAGCCGCCGAGGCCCACGCCGACGCTGGCCGTGGCCAGGTCGGCGATGGACGCCTTGATCGAGTCGCGCGCAAAGACGAGGATGAGGAGGCCGACGAGCTGCTTGGACGCCACCTGCAGGTCGAAAGGGTGCGGAAGAGGGCACAGCGAGACGATGAGGATGACGGACGGACGGCCAGACGGTCAGACGAGGATCTGGGGCGCGCACGACTCACCTTTGTGTAGGCGCCCGCCCTCCTGCCCATTGCCTGGACTGCCGCGCGTGTCCAGGCATCTTCCCTGGCGGGCGAGTAGTAGAGGTAGGCGCCGCCCGAGGTGTCGACCTCCTGGAAGCCGAGGGCGATGAGGTCCGGGTCGTCGTGCGCGCGAAGCCAGCGCTTCATGCCGTTGATGGTGTTCTGGTCGTCTTGGGGCCAGTGTCCTGCGACGTTGAAGGTGCCGAGCGAGATGCGCACCTCGTCCGAGGCGGGCGAGGGGGGTCGGGTGGTGGAGGATGCGTGGCCGTTTGGCTGGAGCGAGGGGGGCAGGATGGCGCTGCGGGAGAAGCGCTCAAAGATGGGCACCTGGGGATGGGAAGGGGTCGAGTAAGGGTTGATGGGCAGGTCGTCGGAGTAGGCGGCGAGCCATTGGTGGGAAGTGGCGAGGGAGAAGGCGTTTTCGGTTGCGATGGCGGTGAGGTCGCGGAGGACCGAGAGGAAGTCCTTTAGGCCCTGTGTGTCGGTGGTGGTTGCGCTGGCCGACTGTCCTGCGCAGGATATGGTGAATCCGAGGTGCGAGTCCGAAGAGGAGGAGGAGGGCGAGGAGGAGGGCGAGGAGGAGGGGGGGTTTGATGCGGGTGCTGGTGGCCCGGTGGGCTGGGAGATGAGGTCGAGGATGGACTGGATCGAGGGAAGGGATCGGGACGAGGGAAACGAGGGGGGCGCGGATGACGATGCACGTGTATGGTTGGGATGCTGGTGGAGCTGTACGTCGATCTGGGGTAGGATGGGTATGACTGCGAGGAGGGCGGCGGTGTTTGGATCCTTGTTTCTTGGCTTGAGGACGAGGATGGCAGCCTGTTCTAGGTTGGAGCTTACGTTTGATACGATGACAAAGATGCGGCGCGGATCCTGGGGTGAGAGCGAGGGGGGCTGCTGTTGGGTTGGGTCATTGTGGGTGGTGGCTGGGGGAGCGCGTGCGGCGTCGAGGGCGATTTTGATGTGCTCGTGCTGTGTGATGATGGTGGCGGCGAGGAGGTAGGGATCCGGGGCGGCCATGGTGGCAATGGCGATGTACGGGCGTGCACGGTCGACTGGCCGAGCGATGATGGTGGTGGTGGTGAAGGGTGGTGGCGGTGGTGGTGGTGGTGATGATGATGGTGGGAGGACATGGCGAGGAGCGTTGAGCGAGGCAGGGAAACGGTGCACTGTGACTTTTGTGCGGTGCCTCTGTGGGCTGTGGGCCGTGAAAAAGGGCGCCCCAAAAGTGGAGGAAAAAAGGCCGATGCACGGGCCCAAACGCACGACCGCCTCATGCATGCATGCAGGCAGGCAGGCGGGCAGCAGCAGACAGAAGATGGACAGACCGACCGACAGCAGCCAGGCAGCCAACGTGGACCCCTCCCATCGGCTTGCTTCTTTGACCCTCGACCACCACCACCACCACCACGTCCCCCCTCACCCTGCCTCAGCCTTGCGGATCACAGCCTGATTCCTCCGCTACCACCCGCGCATCAACGAACCATGCCTCCTTGACATCGTCGCCCCGACTCTCCCCTCTCTCTCTCTCTCGCCGCCATGCACGCCCAACACCATCAACCACACGACAGGCTGGCAGCCCAGCTCGCACACGCTTCCTCTTCCCTCACAACCCCTGCCCAGCAGGTCGTCGCACCGCTCCCAACGCAAAGCGCAACCCCGCACCTCTCATACAAGCAGCTCAAGGAAGCATGGATCGCAGATCGCCAGGGAAGCTCCCTCGTCCGCATCAACCTCCTCAGCCTCACCATGATCACCACCTACGCCCTATGGGCAGTTCATCACCGCGCCATCACTCTGCTCGCACCCAGCAGAGACCGCCAGCATCAGCAGCATCACCATCAGCCCACTCACGCCGCCACCCTCCTGCTGCACCACATCCTTCGCGTAACCACGGCCCTCTCCCAGTGGCAGCTCGAATTCGCCATCCTCATCCTGCCTGCCATCGCTGCACACACGCTCCTCTCAGACCACCTCCTCCTCCTCAACCTCGCAATCACTCTCCTCGCCGCCTCAATCCACCTCGAGACCAACGCCGCCATTCGCACCAGCATCCCTGCATCGCAGCGCGCCGCCCCCACCAATCCCAAGAAGAAGCACTGGTCAAAACGACTCTCGGACGACGACGACGACCACATCGACGAAGACCACGTCTTCTCAGACCACCTCGCGCCATTCATCCAGGGCGACACACAACCCTCACCCGACCTCGAACCCCCAATACGCGTATCCGTCGACTCGGCCGCAGACGCCGCCCACGCCGCCGCCGCTCCCAATGTCCCCTACTCGGCCCCCTCGGCCAGCACCGACTCAGAGACCCCCACATTTCGCACCCCTTCCCCCTTCAGCCCCCTCTTTGCAGCTTCCCCCTCGAGCAGCGCCGACTTCCGCTCCGCATCGGCATCGGAAGACTCCCACGCTGCCTCCAGAGCGGCGCCGCTCGCGCAGGGCCTCCTGCCGGGTGGACGCAACACGAGGGCCGGTCTCGCGCTCTCGACGGCCCAGCCTGCCCCATCGCCGCCCGGATCGCGCCTCGCGTCCCCGCTCCTCGGCCCAGGTAGCAACACCGGCAGCGCTGGCGGAGGCCAGTGGGGCAACCATCGCAGCTCGCTCTCGTCATCGTCACCCCTCTCGCCCTTGGCGCGCAGCGTCATCGACCCGCTCGAGACCAACAAGAGGGCCGCTGCCAGGGCTCCGCCAGTGCGCCTCGATCCCGCCAACCCCTCGCTCTTTGTGCGCGAGCAGCCCTTCCTCACCGTGTACCGCTCCCACATGATGCTCCTCACCGCCATCTGCATCCTCGCCGTCGACTTTCCCGCTTTCCCGCGCGACTTTGCAAAGTGCGAGTCCTGGGGGACCAGCCTGGTGAGTGCCGTATGCCACACGCCGTACGCCGCCGCAGCGCGTCGCTCTCGACCGTCTGAGCCGATCGCTGAGGTCCGAGCGCTGCTCTATTCATCCACCCCTCTTGCCCGCCCAGATGGACCTCGGGGTAGGCTCGTTTGTCTTTTCCCTGGGCATCGTCTCCGCGCTGCCCCTTCTCCGGTCGCCGAGGAACCGATTCGCCCCCCTCAAGGCCCAGCTGCTGCGCGACGTGAGGCGGACGCTGCCCCTTGTCGCGCTCGGCATGGTGCGCGTGATTATGGTCAAGGGCGTCGAGTATCCCGTGAGTGCCAGGTTGATCGCTGGGCCGTGTCGGTGATCCGGCTCGCCTTGGCCGCTCACCATTCGACTGTATCGTCCCGACCTCCCCCATCCTTGGTCTCCCTCGACCTGCTTCGCGCCGCAGGAGCACGTCACCGAGTATGGCGTGCACTGGAACTTTTTCTTCACGCTGGCGCTGCTGCCGTTTGCGGCGACACTGTCGCGGCCCCTTTCGCGCTCGGTGCGGTACAACTACCTCGGGCTGGCGGTGACGGTGGCGCACCAGGCGGTGCTGAAGCTGACGACGCTCGAGTCGTGGGCGCTGTCGTCGACGCTGGTGCGCGACACGCTGGTGCGGCAGAACAAGGAAGGGCTCACCAGCCTGCCGGGCTACCTGGCCATTTTCCTGCTTGGGTTGGACCTGGGCCACTACGCGCTGCCGCTGGACCCGTACTTTGCCTACCGCCGGCTCAACCGGAGGCGGATGAAGGCGAGGCCGGGCAAGTTGGCCATGATCCTCGCCAGCCTGGGCGTCATCTGGTGGAGCGCGTACGCGGCGGCGGACCTGAGCGGGCTCGCCGTGAGCCGCCGTTTGGTGAGTGCGACGTGCGGGCGGGCAGGCGATGGCCACGGTGCCAGCCCGAAAGCGTCGCGCCGCCGACACGATCCTGACGAGCTCCTCTCCCTCTTCTCATGTGCATGCGTGCGCCCGTTGCAGGCCAACTTGCCCTATGTGCTCTGGGTGACGGCGTTCAACACGACGTTCCTGCTGGGGTATGTGCTGGTCTACGTCTTTGTGCTGAAGCCGCTCGAGCGCGGTCCAACGGCCATCGTTGGAGGGCAAGCGTCGTCGGCCGGGCAAGTGTCGTCGCTCGCCAACAGCGGCAGTAGCAGCCGCGTGACGCCGCGACTCCTCTCTGATCTCAACCGCCATTCGCTGAGCGTGTTCCTTGCAGTGAGTGGTGCGAGGGATGTGCCCCTCTGTCTGAAGCTGGCCGTATATTTCCAGCTGCATGGCAACTGACGCCCCCGGGCTCATGTGGACCTGCACCTTCCTCTCGACCCGCCCGCCCATTACTACTGCGTCGCAGGCCAATCTGCTAACGGGACTGGTCAACGTATCGATCGAGACGATGTACGCGCCCGACTGGGCGGCCGTCGTGGTGCTGACGCTCTACGTGGGCGCCAGCTGCGGGCTGGCGACGCTGCTGAGCCGATTGGGCTGGAAGCTGCGCCTGTGAAGCGCCGTCGCCGTCGTCGTCGTCGTCGTCGCTTTGCTCAGCTGGCTACAGTTCGAGGGGGCGAGTTGGATGTAATGTACAAAAGGCACGTTGGTCATTGTGGCCGTCGCCGTCGCCGTTGCCGTGGCCGTCCGACCAACTACCGCTCCGACCAAGGAAATGAGGGAATTGCAGCCGGCCTCTGTGTCACGTGAGCGCGTTGGCGTGCGCAGGGCGGCGGTTTTGTGTTACTTTTCAGCGGCGGCTCGACCTCCACCAGCCCCCCGCCCCCGCCGCCTCGCATCCATCCGCTCGCCTTCCCTCCTCGTCTCTTGCCGCTTCCATCCCGACGTCCCTCCTCCTCCTCGCCCTCATTGACTCCAGTTGACCGCTACCACCATCGATACCCCACCTTTCGTGCGCTGCAAACGCCCATATACCCCCGACGCACGCACGACATGTTTTCAAAGGCGCCCCGCTTCCCGCAACGGCGTGAGTGTGTCTCTCCCGCTTCGCCGTCCCTGCCACCGATCGTGCATCGACCGAATAGACTAGCTGACTTGCCCTGCCTTGCACTTTCGCGCCGCCACAGCGCCAGACGAGATACCCGGGCCAAACTCGTACGACCCCACCGAACCGCAGGCGCACTGGAAGCAGGGCGTCTTCCCCGACCACGCCGCCACACAGCCCCGCAAGGCATCCTCATCCGCCGCCAATGGCGACAGCCGGCGCGTCCTCTCCTCGTCGACCAAGGCCAACATGCCACCCTCAGCCACCGCCAGTGCGACAGCGACAGCGACAACGCAGCAAAAGCACCTCGCCAAGCTCGAGCAGCACCTCGCCCGCGCCACATCGACCATCGACGACCTCACCCACGCCAGGACCCAGCTCGAAAACGAAAAGACCGACCTCGCCACCGAGCTACGCCTCGCACAACAGCGAGAGGCAAAGCTCAAGGCCACGCTCGAAAAGTCAGAGAGGGCCTCGGCGGGCCTAAAGGAAAAGTCGACGCGCTACAACGACCTCCAGGCCAGGCTCGAGGAGCTTCAGAAGCTCCACGCAGAGTCCAAGGACAAGCGCGCCAGGGAGAACAAGGAGCTCAGCAGGGCGCTCGATGCAGAGAGGGAGAAGCGGAAGGCTGCAGACGAGCACGCCGAAAACCTCGAGGCCGAGGCTCAGAGGTGCAGGGACGAGGTACGGGCAGAGAGGGAGCGCGGAGAGAAGGCCTCCGAGCAGCAGCTCGCTCGACTGCGCAAGCTCGAAAACGAGGTCGAGGGGCACAAGCAGACACAGGCCAGACTGCGCGAGCAGCTGCACCAGTCCGAACAGCACTCGGCCCAGCTGGTAAAGACACTCGACGACGAACGACGCACCCTCCGACAGGCATCGGAGCGAGAGCAGCAGGACCTCGAGCACCGCGTCGAGGAGCTCCAGGCGCTCCTGCAGCAGGCCGCGGCAGGGCGAGACGAGGTGCGACTCGAGCTTCAAGACGCCGAGGCCGAGCACGAGCGAGAGGAAGCGGTGCGGTCGCGCAACCTCGAGCTCGTCGCCCGTGCCGCCGGACTCGCGCTCGCACAGCAAAAGCAGCAGGCAGACGAGGAAAAGGCCGACCTGCGCACCCGGCTGCTCGCCGCGCAGCGCGAGGAGCTGCGCGTGCGCTTCGTGGCGCAGGAGAGGATGGACCAGATCCAGGAACTCGTCCAGGTCGTCCGGCAGGTCCAGGACGACCGCGATGCGGCCAAGGCGGTGGCCATCTGCGCCGACGGCGATCTGGCCTCGCTGTTGCAAGAGCGGCGCCTGGACCGTCCGGCTGGCAGCGGCGCTGCGACCGAGTCGACTTCGGAAGACGATGGCGATGGCGACAGCTGTGGCCCTCAGGACGCCCTCAGCGACGAGGACGACACCGATGCCCTCGACCGCCTGTTCGCCTCGGACGCCGCGGCGCAGGCGCTGGAAGAGGCGCGCTTCGAGCTGTCGATCCAGGCCAGCCGCACCGCACAGCTCCAGGACGAGATCGCCCACCTGCACGACACGCTGCTCGACACGGCGCGCGAGCACAAGACGACGCTCTCGACGCTCTCGCAGCTGCGCGCGCAGCTCGATGCCGCCGTGGCCGATTCGGCCGCGAGGCAGGCGCAGGTTGACGCTCTGGCCGCGCAGGTCGGACAGGGCGAGAAGCACCGGCAACGACTCGAGGAGGCGCTCGATGAGATGGCCGAGGCGCGGCGACAGCTCAAGGTGCAGGTCGAGGCCAACAAGGGGCTGGCGAGCGCGCTGAGCAATGCCAAAGTCGCCGAGGCGGCGCTCGTCGAGGAGCGGAACAGGTGCGTGCCGGTCCTGTCGCGGGCCGACTGCAGCCAGCGGGAAGAGGGAGGCCCAACCAGCCAGCCGACCGACCGACCGACCCATCGACCCATCGACTGACTGACTGACTGACTGACACCCGACACCCCCCTCCACGCCGTATTGCCCTTTCATCGTGCACGTCCGTCGTCTCCCTTTATTTCCCCGCCCCCCGGCAGTCTGACAACGACGGTGGTCGAGCTGGAAGCCTACCGAGAAGAGTACGAGCGTCTGTGTACGCAGACGCGCGTCCTGGTGGATCGGCACGCGCTGGCCGAGACGGAGCGGCACGCGCTGACGGAGCTGACGACGTCGCTGCTGCGGCACACGAACCCGGCGCAGAAGATTGTCTACCTCGACCGGATCCGCCGGCAGCTCGACGAGGTGCAGGCCGAGAATGTCGAGATCAAGGTCGAGCTGGAGCGGGAGCGGGCGTGGAGGGTGGAGATGGAGGCTGAGCTGAGGATGTACAAGGCCGTCGATGCGCCGCTTTCGGTGCGGCCGCGGGCTGAGGTTCGGAGGGTCGAGAGGAGGAGGGAGGGCGGCTTGGAGGGTGCGGGTGTTGCGGCTTTGAGGATTGCGGAGGCGCAGGAGGAGGAGGAGGAGCACGGGCACGAGGAGGGGCAGGAGGGGGAAGACAGACGCCGCTCGATCCTCGCCCGATCCCAACGCAGCACGACCACCACCAAGCCGTCCTTGGCTTTGACGACCACGACCACGGCGGCAGCAGCGGCAGCGGCGCGCACCCGACCGAGGACATCGCTGATCAACAGCGGAGCACTGCGGCACCGTCCCTCGTCCTCGTCCTCCACCACGGGCGTCGCGGCGCTTCTATCATCATCGACATCGTCCCAGCCTCGCGGTCTGCCCTCATCCTCGTCGCATTACGACGGTACGACGCGCATCCCGGCACCGTCGGAATCTACACCTCTCCCCGCCACCACGACGGGGAAGGGGAAGGGGATGGGGGGTGCGACGAGGAGGAAACTACGACCGTCCCTCGTCGTCGGTACGGCTCGACGCGTCCCTTCTCTCCTTGCCCCCCTCTTCCCCCTCCCCCCTCCTCCTCCTCCTCCTCGAGGGGGCCGGGAAGACGAGGTGCAAGACCGTCGAGGACAAGACGGGGTGGTGCCGCGGGGCTGACGACGATTCAGGCCGGTTCGTCGCCCGATTCCCAGCTGTCGCTGCACGATGAGGAGGAATGGATGTCGCATGATGACGACGACGACGGCGGGGAGGGCGAGGGGAGAGAGGCGAGGGGCGAAATGACGCTGGATGAATTGGGACGACGCTAGACGTCTCGCCTCGCCTCGCCTCGCCTCGCCTTGTCCTGCCTCCTGAACGCGCACCGGCGCACTGACAACGTCGATTGTTGTACACCGAGCCCTTGTTCGTCGTTTATTGTACATCAAGCCCTCGTCTCGTCCCCCCTTTGCTGGTGACGACAAACGCGACGGGTTACGATTCAGAAACCAAAACTGGATCTCCCGCCATCCCTTTGTCCTGGTCCTTGTCCTTGTCCCTGTCCTCCCTGTCCTCCTCGTCCTCATCCTCCTCGTCGTCCTCCTCCTCGTCCTCCTCCAACGACGACGACAGCGACGACGACGACGACGACAGCGACAAAGACGACGACGACGAAGGGAGGAAGAGTTGACGCGACACGAAACCGGGCGGGAGGTCGTATACGTCATCCGCGAGCGGTCCTCGTTCTCGTCCTCGCGCTTGGCTGCCGCCGTCGCCGCTGTCGGTGGGGTGGCGTGCGGATCCGGTGGATCGGACCGTGTGGCCCTGTAGCGGATGTCGGATCTTCTTTTCCTCCTCGTATCTCAAGGAGCTGGTCGAGGAGGAAGAGGGAAGGGGGACATTGAGGATGTTGGCGTGTGGATCTGCGCGTCCCACCACCCCACCCCACCCCCGCGTCGTCCATCCATGTCGGCAGTGGGAAGAGGGTAGAACGGGGTTCCGGGTCAGAAAGACGAGATCACGCCACCTACCGAGGCGGGAAAGGGGAAAAGAGGGGGGGGGGGGGAGACGCATCGCACCGCGACGGCACTCACCCACGACGTTATCGAGGTCCTGTAGGTCGGGCGTGTTGAGCAGGTTGAGCGACATGAAGCCGCCATACACGCCCAGCACGGCGATGAGCGACCACGCCGGAAGCAGATATGCCCATTCCCTGGTTGATACACGCAAAGAGGGGGGAGGGGTCGGTGGTGGCCCGCAGGAAAGGTTTGCGTCGAGTCGTATGCACAATCAGCCCCCCGGTCCCACTATCTTCTCCCACTCTTGGCCCCCCCGAAACCAGTCATTCTCTCGTACCGCCGCCCGCCGCCATCCGGCACGGTAGAAATGGACCGGCCTCCCGCCACCGTCCCGCTATCGTCCCCCTAGGCCTTGGTCTGGGCACCCGCGTCCACGCACCGGTTCGGGTACCACGCCACGCCGACCTTTTGCAGCGCCCAGTCGGGCGTCAGGCCCCACACGGTCCAGACGAGGTAGAGGACCGTGGCAAAGATGAAGAGCGCAAAGCCGTAGTACTCGCCCGACGACGTCGACGACGGCAGGGCGGCGGCCTTTTCCATATCGACCAGGTCCAGGTCCAGGTGGCGCTTTGACGGCGACTGCTGCGACGGTGCCGGCGCGGTGGGCGCGTGGACGATGGCCGAGAGCGAGTGGATGGTGAGGGCAAACTCGCCGGCTTGTTTCTGGTGCAGCGCGACGAAGACGGGGGGAGGACGAGGGAACGAGAAGATGGCTCCGACACGTCAGCGGGCGATCCTGGGCCAGACTGCGAGGTCACCCCACGGCACCGCCTACTACTCACGCCAAAGTTGCTGCGGGCCATGATGCTCCACTCGTGCGTCTCTTGGGGCAGGAACTCGCCCGGGTCCTCTGCGGGCCTGCCGCGGTAGGTGGGCTTGAAGTCGGACCAGTGCGCGTCAAAGGTCCAAAAGGCGTCGCCGTCGCCGTCGTCGTCGACGAGGTCGGTGCGGGGCAGGGTGGCGCCGTCTGGGGTGCAGCTGTTTGGGTCGTGGCAGGGCAGCTGGATGTCCCACTCCCAGACGAGGGAGCTCTGCCTCCTGCCGTCGGGGCGGGTGGTGGGCGCCTGGGTCTTTATGTTGACGACGTAGCGGGTGACGTTGCCCGGCTGCGGTGCGGGAGGCGACGAGGTCGACGCGGTCAACGAGGACGCCTGGACGCGGCGAGGCGGGCTGCGGGGGTCCTGCCTGCGCACGCGTAGGCGGAGGCCATCGAAGCGCGCCTTGTCGAGTCTGACGGGGAAGCCGTGGTCGTTTGCCTGGGATGCGAAACCGGCGCCTCCGAGGGCGGTGATGTCGAGGTTGCCCGAGAACTCGAGCTCGCCCGTGTTGGCGACGAGGCTGACGTTGCTGCTGCTCTTTCCGCCGCGGACCGTGTCGTCGACGTTGGTAAAGTCGGCCGGGTTCCAGCGCTGGGCGGGTGGGTGTGCGTGGTGCGGGAGGTAGAGGGGTACTTGGTCGCAGTGGGAGGGCATGGTTGCGAGGGGCAGCGATGCGGCGAGGCGGGCTGTGGTGCAGAGCCAGAGGGTTAGGGCGGCGAGATTGAGCGGCGGGCGCATGTCGGGGGTCAGGGGCGGGATGGAGATGGAGATGGAGACGGAGGGGGAGGGAGAAGCCTGGTCAGCGCAGGGAGGCCAGAGGGGATCGTCGGGAGGGGGCGGCTTACGAGGGGAGGCCAGGGTGTGGTGTAGGCTGTCGATGTTATATATGATGGGCGATGCGGATGGCGAGCTAGCGGTGACTAGCCTGGAGAGGTGTTGAGCTTGGTTGGCCTTTGTGATTGTGCCTGGGGCATGGTGGGTGAGCGACAAGAGGCTAGGGTGGTGGGTTAGATAGCGGGTTGCGTCCCTGGCTCTGCCACCGTGCACCCCGCGGCCCGGGAGGCGCAGCCGTGGTACGTACGTCTCGTCTTTGGCTTTTGGCACCTCGGTCAGCGTCGCATGGCCAGGGCGCCCCCACGGCCACCTCGTCGGCTCTTAACTTAGCTTGTGTTGCGCCGACCAGCTCCAAGGCGCCAACCCATGGGCAGCGCCAAGCTCGTCAAGGTCCAGACGTACGTACTTGGCCCGCCCTGTTGCCAGCTTGGCGCTGGATCCCCACGGCCCACGGATATTCAATCCCGGCCTCGATGCTGGCGCCGGTAGTCACGGCTCGTGCAAAGCGCCATACAGACGCAGTAGTGACACCATCTCGTCCAGCGACTGCGGTAGCGGTGCTCAGGCCTTAGCTTGCCGCCCCGACGTGCCATCCCAGGCCTGTCTAGTCGACTAGACAGGCCAGGCCAGGCCGTGGCCAAAGCGCGCCGTGGCGAGTCCGGCCTTCGGCTCACGCCCTGATCCGACGGCCGAGTGCGAGTGCGAGTCGGATCCAACCAGCTTCCACCTCGTCTCTGGCAGCCACCACCTCTGACCATCCTGCCATCCCTCGCCTCTGACACTCCTCTCGCTCGCGCGCCCTGGACATCCTAGCAGACGGCAGCAAAGCAGGGGTCAAGAATGACGACCCACACTCTGGCCCAATTCAACGCCTCCAAATCCCTCCCATCCGCCCCTCTGTCGTCGATGGACGAGAGCTGCGCCTTTTGTCGCATCGTCTCGCGCTCCCTGCCCGCCCACGTCGTGTACGAGGACGAGTCGACCCTCGCCTTTCTCGACATCCTCCCGCTTCGCCGTGGACATACCCTCGTCATCCCAAAGGCACACGTTCCCACCCTCTCGCAGCTAAGCCCCCATCAGGCTGCCACACTTGCACAGTCGCTCGTTTGCGTCTCGGCGGCTGTCGGTAGAGGTGAGTGGCGCCCTGCGCGTGCGCACAGAGACGGCGAGGGCGAGGGCGAGGGCGAGGAGGGCGTGCGACGACGGCCATCTCATCATCCCCTTCCTCTTCGCACCACTTCTGCCATCGACCTGCCGTGTCCTGCTCGTGCGGTGCGCGCTACCAGCCATGGGCGACGACCGCCTACAAGTCATCACCAACCAGATCTACGCCCAGATTGTACCCCACGTACGTCGCTTGTCCCTCCTCCCCTTACTCCCCTTCCCTCGCCTTCTGATCACATCCCTTCATCATCTCACCACCTCACTCCTCCCACGCTTCGCTCCAGGTCCATTTCCACATCGTTCCAGCTCCCCCGCTCCCCTCCTCGTCGTCGGCGCAGGGCAAAGCGACGGCGACGAAATCGACCAATCCCATGTCCCTCATGGGTCTCGGCCACGGCCGCGAGGAACTCGACGACGACGACGCAGAGCACCTCGTCAAACTCATACGCCACCACATCGACCACCCGCCTTCCTCCGACGACGCCAGCGACGGCAAGGCAAAGCTCTAGAAGCGCGCAGCAGCAGCCGCGCCACGACGTTCCCGCGGATGTCCATCGGCATCCGCCCTGTGCTCTGCATCGAATACCCCCGGCCTGCTCGCAGCGCCATGCCACAGGCTCACAATCAACGAACGAGCGTGTGTTCGCGCGTGTGTGTGCTGCCAATGGCAAATGCTGTCTTCGACTTCCGCTCTTCGTCTCCCGCCGCTCCGACTCTTCTAAGTACACCGCACGGGCGCCCGCAACCTACTCCGAGGAGCGCTTGATCTTGAGACCCGACAGGTCCGCCTGCGTGCCCGGGGCAATGTTGTGCGGCGAGGCCTGCTCAAACGTCCTGTAGTTGCGATGCAAGAGGCGGGGCGGTCAGAGGAGCGGGGGGAAAAGAGCAAGGCAGCAGACGAGGAGGTTGCCCAGGCGTCAGCTCAGTGTGCCGCAACGACATCGCACCGACATCGGCCTCCCGCGCGGGCGACAACCGCGTCCACTCACTGAGGGAACCTGAGCCTGTGGACGGGGGGCCTCTCGGCGTCCTGGAGGAGGAGCCGCTCCTCTGCCTTTTCCCGCGCCATTTCGAGGTGGCGGAGGTTCCTCTCCTTCCACACCGACGAGGGCGTCGTCCAGTGCTCAATGTAGCGCGTCAGCCACGGCTTGGGCAGCTCGTCGTCCGACTCGTTGCCGGGCGCCGAGCGGCCCGACGACGACGCCCGCGACGGGTGCGGGTCGGCGTGCAGCGTAGACAGGCGGTAGATGCCCGCTCCGGCCAGTCCGGCCAGCAGCGTGTAGCCCCAGATCGGAGAGGTGAAGCCTGCAAGCCGGGTCGTCGAGTCGAGAGGTGGTTGGGGAAAGGTCAAATTGAAGTGGCCGAGTGCGAGGGCGGGGGCGAAAGGAAGAGGGGAGGTCAGAGGATGCTCGCGCCAGTGATTCCATGCCCCGATATGGGCCTCGCACTATAGAGTCAGGCCGAGGCCGACCGGAACGCACCTTCGGGAGGGTACTCGTCTTCGGCCGACGAGGACGAGGCCGACGACTCGGCAGCCTTGACGGCGCGGGTCGAGTGGATCGATCGGACGGCGTGGAGGGACGAGGACGAGGCCAGGTTGGACCTCGAGACGACGGCGACGGCGCGAGCCCGCGCAGCAGCTGCCATGGGCGCCATCTTGTTCGGAGACGCTAAACGTGAGGTCGGGGTGATGCGAATCGACGACAGGAGGAAGCGAGGAGTGGTGAGGGTGGCCTGCGAGACGCTCTTCAAGCACGCGCGGAGGAGAGGTAGGATGATGGAGAGCAGAGGCCAGGCCAACGAGGAGCGGGGAGAGTGGAGGCTAGGGATGTCGAGGGACGGCTGCTTGCTATCGCAGCGTTGCGTTGAAGTCCGGGGCAGCAACGTTGGGACGAAGGTCTCGCCGCCGCCCGCCGCCCGCCGCCCGCTCGCCCCACGCCCTGGCGCTCCAGCTGCACCGCCCGCCCGTGATCGGCCTGCCTGTCCCGCCAGCGCCAACCTCGAACCGGCCAGCCAGCCTCGGATCCGCGTCGAGAAAATGAAGATTTCATCGGCGATCCGATTTTCTTCTTCTGGCGATTGAATCTGATCGGGCTCGAAGCCACGGCGCAGACAGCAGTCGCTCGCAGCCAGGCCTGCCAGGCCAGGCCAGGCCAGGCCATCTGCGTAGGTTGAAGCCCACCTCGTCGGTCGAGGTCGAGCCAAACCTGAGCCGAGCTGGCTGACCCGACCCGACCCGACGCAGGCTCGAGCGTGCAGGCACCGTACGGTGCTGCCTGCCGCCAGCGAGGCTGGCTCACCAGATACGCATGGGTTTCGAGCAACGCAGGTCGCCGGTACCTATGGGCCAACGGAGCAGCAGCAGCAGATCGGGACGAGACGTACGTGGGTGGTGAAGCAAGCCAACGACGGCCTGCTGGCCACCGAGAGCAAGACGGCGTAGGGATACCGTAACTTACGCAGGCAGAGACGAGAGCGAGCGAGCTCAGATCAGAGGCGAGGAAGGGCCGACGCCAGAAGAGATCTGCGTGCGTGATCTGCTGCGCTCCGTCGATCATTTCGCCGCCCACGCATGAACGTAACCCAGCCGCCGCTTCCTCGCCCGCCTGCCTGCCTGCCTGCCAGCCAGAGAGCCCCGCCTGGTCTGGCCCCTGAGCCTGAGCCCGAGCCTGCCCTAGCCTGTGCCTGCCTTGGCTTTCCCCCTTCTTGCTCATGCTCTCCGACCGAACGTCGCTCATGCCGTCGTCGCCTGCCCGAGAGACCGCCGCCTGCCTCGTCAAAGATTCCCTCCCTCTGAGGTCGAGCGCATGCTGCTTCTTTTGGCGCTTCTTTGCCGGCTTCGAAGGGGCAAGATAGGCGACCGGGCGTATTGGTATCGAGCAAGCCGGCGGCCAGCCCGAGATCGAGAGAGAGAGAGGGGAAGAGTTAGGTGTCGACGAGCAGGCCAGACCGAGCCACGCCGAGCAGGCTGCGCCTGCCTCTTGAGCCCATGCTGCACCGCACGTACGACCAGCGTAGCGGCTCACGGCCAGCAGCAGCAGCCTCGTGCGGGCGTTGCCACGTACGTACGTACGGCCATCGACGCAAAACTTCCCGTCGGTAGACGACAGGTAGGGGACATCGACGCCCCCGACGATCCATCCCGTCTCGGCTTGGCCACTCCATCGTGGTGTCGCAGCCTGTCACGATGCGGTCCGAGATGAATCGCTGGCCAGCAGAGGCGACAGGCGACCGGATCCTGGCTCCGTAGCGTGCTGGGACCAGCACGAGGGTGGCACGGACAAAAGCAGGCAGGCAGGTGATCAAGAGCAGAGCTAGAGAAGGAGAAAGAGGTCGCGTCAGGATGCCAGGCCGGCGGCCGTCTTTGTCGGCCAGAAAAAGCCACCAGGTGGGGCCGGCCCCTAGGCTTGAAGCTGCGAGCCAACAAGGGAGCCAAGGTGCGAGAGCCAGCCCAAGCCCGAGCCAGCCAGCCGGCCGGCGTGCGTGTGTTTTTCCTTTTGGCCAGCGGAAAAAGGGCGAGGAGGGCGGCCAGGGCCGGGGCTGACGCGCCTTTTGGCGGGCCAGAGAGCCCACGCCAGGCCAGGCAGGCAGGCGAGGAAAAAGAGAGCGTTCCGTTGTCGTCGTCGCCTTCGTCGTTGGCTCGCGTGCACGCGAAACACACACACGCACACACAACAACGCACGCACGCCGCCCGGCCCTCGCCTGGCCTGGCCTGGCCTCGCTGGACCGCACGCACGCACGCACGCCGGCCGCCCCTGCCTGCCTGCCTGCCTGCCTGCCTCTTCCTATGCCCCCCTCTCTCTGCGTCCCGCCCCCTCCTACCGCAACCTCACCTCTCTGCTCTCACAAAGTCACACCTGCCTGCTGGGCCCTGCTTGCCTGCCTGCCTGCCTGCTATCACCTCGATCCGCCCCCTTTTGCCAAGCTCTCGCTCGCTCGCTCGCTCGCTCGTTGGCACAGCGTCGGCCCACCTGCAACCACGCCCACCCAACCAACCCTCTCGGCCCAGCAGCGCTGCTTTGTCGTTGTCGCCGTCGCCGTCGTCGTCGCCGCCACTGCCACTGCCACTGCCGCTACCATCACCATCACGCCCCCTCGTCCCGCGCCCCTCGCCATCTCCCTTCCCCTCCTCCCTCTCCCTCACCTTGCCTCCCCTCGGCCCCGGCTCTCCCCGCACCACTGACTGGCCTCGGCACCCTTTCGCTTCGTCCCGCCCTGCTATTCGCCTTCTCTTCGTCCACCGCGGCCTTCATTTGCTTGTCCGGCCTTCATCCAGCTGCTCGCCGATCCAGAGACTCTGCCGGCTGACTGTTCGATCACAGCTCGCCAGCCTTGCCGCAGCAGCACCGCGCCTCACCGCCCCGCGCTGCCGCTCCTCGACGTCCCCTTTCTTTGATTCGATCCTATCCCGCCTCGCCTCATCGCTACCCTTGCCCTGCTGCCGAATCGCTCCGGCCGGCCTCTACCGCGGGAGCCACCGGCCCACCACGCTCTTTCCTCACTCACTCCCAAACAGCCCTCTCGATCCACACGAGCAGGCGATCCAGCGTCTCGACGACGCGCACGGAGCCATCGCGAGGCGGCCACACCTGCTCGTCGGGCACCCCTGACCGTTTGCCGTTCTGGCCCCCTCGTCTACCCAGCCACCAGCACATCACTCGACTTTGTTCCCCGCGACCTGCTGCCAGCCAACGTGATCGTCTCGCCCTAGCCTCGATCCTCTCGCACGACCGTCAACGCCGACTCCACCCGCCCCTGGGTCGAGCTCACGGCAGGTCACCACCATCACCACCTTCACCACCACCACCGCCACCACCACGTCCACAATGCCAGCGTCATCGTCCAAGGCCGCGCGGCAATCGCTGCCGACGACATCCACAAGGTCATCTATGCGACAGCGGATACGGCAGTCGTCCAGGCTCATCGTCGCCGCCTCGGCCATGGCCGCTCTGATGTGTGGGCCGTCGATTGCCGCCGCCGCCGACGACTTCCCCTCGATCGATTTTGGCCTGCTGGGCGCCGTCGGCGTGTCGGGCAGCTTTGCGGCGCTCGAGATCTGGAACCAGACGGGCGCATCGTCGGGGCCCAACGTCACCTACGACGCCAACGCCTCGACGCTGCTGCAGAGGGCCGGCAATGGCACGCTGACAAAGGTGAGCGCCACCGAGCGCGGCGGCTCCATCCGCGCCATCTGCCAGCTGCCCGGATCGCCCGACACCGTCTTCGTAGGAGGCACCTTCTTCTCCATCGGCGGCACCTCGGTCAGCAACATCGCCTCTTACAACACCCAGACCAAGGCGTTCGACGCCCTGGGAGGCGGTCTCGACGGCGACGTCCTCACCCTCTACTGCGACGCCGAGCGTCGGCAGGTGCTTGCCGGCGGCAGCTTCAGCGGACCCGTCAACGGCAAGACCGACCGCTACCTCGGCTCGGTCGCTTCGTGGAGCCAGGACAGCGCCGCTTGGTCGCCCATCGCCTTTGGCGGCCTCAACGGCACCGTCAACGCGATAGCCGCCGGCGCCAACAGCTCGCTGGTGCGCTTCGGCGGCGAGTTTGACACGAGGTTCGCGTCGATCGGCGCCAACGGCCTCGAGTCCGGGACGAGGAGCTCGGCGTCGTCGCTCACCAACGCGCTGGCCCCCATCTCGCTCGGCCAGGTCGAGTTTGTCGGCGGGCCCTCGTCGGGCGAGCAGGGTTACAGCAACCCGGCCCAGGTCCTCTGCCCCCAGGGCGGCGACGGCCCCAACAACAGCTACCTCTTCGAGGACGGCGCCGTGGGCCGGCTGACGGCGCGCGCCTTCCGCAGCCTCGACGTCCGCGCGATCCGCCTGGGCAACACGTTCATCGATGGCCGCGGCACGCGCACCTTTGGCGTCGTCTCGATCCCCGACAACACCGAGCTCGAGCTCCTCTATCTCGACCCGCAGACCAACCAGAACGTCACCTGCACCAACAATTGCACCCTCTCGCAGGACCCCACGCTGCCCTACCAGGACTTTTTGATCCGCGACGTCCCGGCCAACAACGCGCCCGGCGGCGTCAAGACGCTGACGGGCGTCCAGTTCACCGCGTCCGAGCACTACGGCGCCGGCGCCGGCCTGCACATCCTCGAGCTGCTCTCGTCTGGTGGGTGGGCTTACGCCTACAACGCGCTCAACCGCGGCGCGTGCAACTCGCCCGAGGAGGGCGTCAACGGCACTTCGTCGACCACCACCACCGAGGGCGGCTGGTACCCGACGGCCGTCACCACGCTCTCGGGCACCAGCGAGCCGGCGCTCGCCCTCACCGACTCGTACAGCAACCTCCAGGCCAACACCGACGCCACCGTGACGTTTTCCGTCGACATCCCCGTCAACGGCAACTACACGGTCAACATGTTTGTGCCCGGCTGCGCCAAGAGCGGCCAGTGCGGCGAGCGGACCGACGTCAACGTCAACGTCTTCCCCGTCGCCAACTCCCAGGGCCGGCTCACCCGCATCTCGCAGACCAACGCCGACGACCGCACCGTCGAAATCTACTCGGGAGAGATCCAAAAGGCCGCCGACGGTTTCAGCCCGACCGTGATCCTCTCGATCCCCGACGATGCGCCCGCGCCGTCGGGCGGCAGCCGCTTCACCGTCGTCGCCGACCGCATCGGCTTCGTCCTCCGCGACTCGAACGAGACGCTGTCGATGAGCCGCCAGACGGGCTTCGGCGTGCTCGAGTACAACGTCTTCGACGACGCCGTGGCCTCGATCCGAAACAACGGCACCGGCACGCTGCCCAACACCACCATGACGGCGATCGACACGTTTTCGGCGACCCTCTTCAGCCGCGGCGTGCGCCGCACCGAGAACGAGTACGTGTCGGCCGTCGTCAGCGCCGGCGGCAAGACGTTTGTTGGCGGCAGCTTCGAGTCCAACAACGGCACGAGCTTCGCCAACATCGCCGCCTTCACCGACGAGAGCCAGGGCAAGGAGGCCGTCGACATCGCCAACGGCGGCCTTAACGACGAGGTTCTCGCACTGGCCGCCGTCGGCGGCTCCGTCTTTGCTGGCGGTCGTTTCACCCGCCTCGCCGACAACTCGGCCGCCGTCTCGTACGTGGCGCGCTACGACCCTGCGGCGGACACGTGGGCGCCCCTCGGCGGCGGCACCAACGGCGCCGTGCTGTCGCTGACCCCGCTGCCCTCGAACCAGCTGCTCGTCGTCGGCGACTTTGACAGCGTCAACGGCTCGACCCAGGCGGGCGTGGCGGTGTGGGACACGACCTCCAACGCCTGGCAGACCCAGAGCATGTTCCTCTCCGGAACCATGACGGCCGCGTCCTCGTCGGCGAGTGCTGCATCCGACAGCAGCTACGTTGCCGGCAGCGTCAAGGCCATCAGCCACCACTCGGCGTCCGGTGCAGTCGAGCTGACAGCTCCGGAGCGCAGCGGCGACCCGCCGACGATTGATAGCCTCAACTTCCAGTTCACGGTCCCCACCGAGAGCTCCGACGCGCCCAATCCGTCGTCGAGCAGCAGCGGGGCCCGTCGCCGCGCCGTTGCGGCACGCTCGCAGCAGGTCCCGCAACGCCTCGAGGCGCGTGACAGCACCGGCGGCGGCAGCCTCAAGTCGAGGCTCCGCAGCCTCCTTCCCCGCTCCGAGGTGAAGGCGGCATCGCCCTTTATGCAGTCGCAGACCTCGCTGATGAAGCGCGCCAGCGCCCTGTCGCCCTCGTCGCTCGCCTCGTCCGGCACCAACGAGGTGCTCGCCAGCGCCTTCTGGCAGCGCGACGACGGCAGCTACGTCAACATCATCGGCGGCAACTTTAGCACCACCGAGGGTGTCCGCAACCTCGCCATGTACGACGACAAGGCAGGCGAGCTGTCGGCCTTTCCGCCCCTGCCCGCCTCGACAATGGCCGACGGCACGCCGCTGACGGTGATCCGATCGCTGCTGGTCGACTCCGACATCCTCTACGTCGGCGGCGACGGCGGCCTCGAGACCTACGACCTCAAGAAGGGCACCTGGAGCGAGAGGGCCGCCGCGCTCAACAGCCGCACCAGCCAGGAGCTCTCGGTCACCTCGATCAACCACCGCCCCGACACGTCGACGATCATCGTGGCGGGCAACTTTGACTCTGCGGGCTCGCTGCCGTGCATGAACATCTGCGAGTGGGACAGTGTCGCGCTGCGTTGGACGCCGCTAGGCGCGGGCGTGGGCGGCGAGATCTCGACCGTTGACTTTGCAGGCGGCAAGGCCAATCAGCTCATCGTGGCCGGATCCGTCTCGGTCAACAACGTCGAGGCGGCGCTGGCCAGCTACAACTTCGACACGCAGATGTGGTCGACGCTCGGATCGATCGGCACCGGCGCCGGACAGGCGCCCGGGCCCGCGACGGCGGCCAGCGTCGATGACCTCAACCCCAACTCGATCTTTGTCGCCGGCCGCACCTCGGACGACACGGCGCCCTACCTGGCCAAGTGGGACGGCGCGCAGTACACGGCCGTCGACGGTGGCGAGCTGATCGGCGACTCGGGCGTAGCGCAGCTCACGTTTGTGCCCATCAACAAGGCGCACGCCGGCAACTCGGTCCTCGAAAACAACCGCCTGCTCGTCGTCAGCGGCAATCTCGAGACGCAGAGCTATGGCCGGCTTTCGAGCCTCCTGTTCGACGGGCAGGGCTACATCCCCTTCCTGCGCGCGACCAACCTCAATGGCTCCTCGGGCATCGTCCGCTCCTTTAGCCGTTCGACCGAGGTGCTCAAGTTCCCCAACCTCCACCGCCTCGCCGTCGGCCTCGTCATCCTGATCTCGATCGCCATCGGCCTCGGCATCGTCTTCCTGCTGGTCCTCCTCGGCCTCATCTGGGCCTTGAGCCGGCGGAGACCCAACGAGCAGGTCGACGTGCCCATCTCGGGCAGCGAGGACTCGCTCGCCGTGGGCGAGAAGAAGCGCCCCTCGAGCTTGCTGGCGACGCTCAACGCTGCCACCGAGAACGCCATGGTCGGAGGCGGGCCAGGAGCCGGTGCGAGCGGCGGCGGCGGCATGGTGGGCCGCGACGGCTTCCCGCTCGCCGGCGCTGCCGTCGCAGGCGGGGCGGCAGCGGGGGCGGCAGCAGCGGCGGGCAGGACATCCTCGTCCGGCCACGACAAGCACGACTCGGCACAGATGGGGACAATGGAGAACAGCGACGGCACAGGGCCATCGCAGTACCACAGCGAAGGCGCGCACACCGGCTACAGCGCGCGCACCCAGTACCTGACCGACGAGGGCGAGTACCTCGACGGCGCGGGCGAGGCGGCGGCCGGCGCCGGGGCCATCGAGATGATGGACAACCAGGACGACTCGCCGGGCTCCGAGGGCATCCCTGCCCACGCGCGGTACGACTTTGTGCCGAACCACGAGAGCGAGCTCGGCGTCACGGCCGGCGAGGCCATCGAGATCCTCGACGACCAGGACGAGCACTGGTGGCTGGCGCGCAACGCAGAGGGGCGGACAGGCGTCATCCCGAGCACGTACGTGCTATGACCGCCGCGTTCCGCCTCGCGGCTTTCATTCTCCTCCGTCGCCGATCCTCAGGCCAGGGCCTCCTCGGTCGGCCTGCGCGGTCGGGTCGATCGACGCAAGGGCCCATCGATCTGGGCCGGCAAGGACTATGCCCCCCCCACCTAAAAGAAGACTTGGTTCCTCCCAGCATCCGTCGGCGGCCGAATACCGGGCCGCCGTCTTTCTCGAGATACCCGCGAGCCGACCCTCCGGTGCGCCGACCCTGCGCGCGCGCGCGCGCGCATCGTCGCTGCTGTCGCAGCCGCTGTCGCCGTCACCACCACCGCCTCTGCCGCCGCCGCCAGCGCTGCCGGCCCTCGCAAAGCACACACGCACGCACTGCCATCCACCCCGTTCCTTTCTTGACCTGCCCTTGAACCTTTTCTTGCGCGCACGCGCGCCGCAGCGCACTGCCCTCTTCTTGGCCTCTCCCCTCCCTCTCTTTCCGTCCTTCTTCGCTGCTCCCTTGTTTCTATCTCCCTTCCTTTGCCTCATTTTCTCTTGCGTCTTCGTCGGTGCTGGTCGCTGCAGCAGGCGCATGCTCTAGGAGAGAGAGGGGGAGAGAGACAGAGAGCTGCACAACGACACCGCCACGACGACGATCGACCCCCTATTCGTCATTCTCTTTGTCTCGCTGCCCTCTCGCCCTGCGTCGCAGGCATCGCCTCGTATCGCGGAAAGGCGAAACCCACCACGTTCCCTCCATCCCTCCCTCCCCTCCATCCCTACCTCTCCTCGTCGCACATTCCACACTCCTTTAACTATCCTCCTCTCGTCGTCTCACACCTCGCCCTCCCGAATCTCGTCATCGATTCGTGTCGTACCGTAGCAAAGCGTAGCACAACGTGCATTTCCTTGCCCGCCCGTTTCGTCTGCGCCGTGCGCTCGTCCACCACCACCACGACCCCCCTGCTTCCATCGAGACGGGACGCGATGCCGCTGCCGCGTGAATGGGTTTTGTGAGAGATTCAATTCGGCATCGACGACGCCACTTCTTGGCCGCGGCGCGCCTAGACGCCGTACAGGACGCTCTTGTAGTCTCGCAGGATGACCGAGACGCTCTCGGGTCCGCTCAGACCCACCTCGCTCGCCACGGCGCTCACGTAGCGCGGCGGCGTCACGTCGTAGAGCAGGTTGACCAGTCCCAGGCTCGCGTTGCCCTCCCACTCGCCCACGCTCACCGGCCGGCCCACCTCATCCCCATCACCGCCGCCGCCGACGTTGACCCCGCCGCCGCCGCCGGGGGGGCCGCCTCGTCGTCCGAGGTGAGCAGGTCGCGCGGGCTGCCCGCCTCGTTCTGGACAAACGAGTCGAGCTGGACGCGCTCGGAAAACTTGTACGTCTCGCAGCACACGATGACCGGGATGCCCTTTTCCTTGGCCATCATGGCGCACGTCGCCGTCCCCGCGCGCGAGTAGAGCGCGCCGTTGGCCAGCAGCGCCGCCGTGCCCAGCAGCAGCAGCGTGGCGCGCGGCATCAGCGCTCCCAGCGACGACACCAGCCCGTAGGTGCACGGGATGCCCGCCGCCAGCAGCACCGACAGCAGCGCCCGCCCCTCGAGCAGCGGCCGCGAGTCGACCACCACCACCGAGAACCGGATCCCCTGCCGGTGCGCCGCCAGCAGCGTGCCCTCGACCACCGTCGACCGCGCAAACGTCATGACGACGTCGCCGTCCTTGATCTTGCTCCCCGCCTGCGCACGGATAATCTTGGCGGCGTAGACGATGCGGTCGCGCACAAAGTGGTCGATGCGCTCCAGCAGATGCTCCTTGGCCTCGTCCTCGGTCATGTCGGCCGAGCACAGCGAGATCTCGTACTTGAGGTAGCGCGTCGCAACGCCCGTCGACGTGCCCATCGCCCGCGCCTCGACCAGGTGGCCCACCTGGTTCGACACGGTGCGCAGCAGGTCGCGCTTCAGCACCTCGCCCGGCGGCGTGCGGTAGTCGCGGATGACGTCGGCCAGCGCCTGCAGCAGGCCCATGGCGCGCGAGTCGGCGCCCATCAGCCGGAACTCGGACAGCTGCGTGCTCAGCTTGAGGATCGAAGGGTGGATGTTGGACCGGTACGACGACGACACAATCGACTGCGTGTGCAGCTGCGACGAGCGCGGCTGCGACACGTTGCCAAAGAGCGACACGCCGCCGATGGTCGAGGCGGCCGTCTGCGACTCGTGGAACCCGAGGTGGTGGTGCGATGCCGCCGCCTGCTGCTGCTGCTGCTTGGCGCCGCCCTGGCCCTTTGCCTGCGACTGGTTGCTCCTCCGCGATGCGTCGTCGCGCCTTCCCATCGACTGCGCCTCGTCTCCCCCGCCCTCGCCGCCTGCGCCTCCCCTCCCTCCCTTGGCGCCAGCGTGGTGCGAACCTCGGTTTGCTGCTGCGCCGGCACCTCCCGCTGGCCCAGTCGATGGGCCGCCTGCCGCGCCGGGTGCACCTCCCGCGCCCGCCTTGCCATCGGGCCTGGTCGCGATCTTTGCGGCTCGGCGCTCCGCCTTTAGCTCCTTTGCCGATTTCTGGCCGGGCTGCTTGGGCTGCTTGGGCTGCTTGGGCGGGTTGGATCCCTTGCCGGCGGCTGGCGCAGATGCGGAGGCGGCGGCGGCGGCAGCGGGAGACGATGATGATGGATCCGGGCTGTTCTGAAATGAGCCCGCCATCTGCGGGGTGGACGGGGTCGACATGCTGCCGTCGGTTGGGGCTGGTTCTGCCTCGAGGAGGTGCGAAGCTGCCGGTTGATTGAGGGATGTAAGGTGGTGGTCTGTGCCCCGGATCCGCGTGCGTTTCGAGCTAGGGACAGGTCTTGGTGGACGGCTCCAAGTGTGACGGAAACGCAGATCGACAGATGAAGGAGGAGGCGAGTGCGTTTGTCGGCAGGCAGCGAGATGGCCAAGGAGGAGGATGTTGAGGAGCAAGAGGAAGATCCGAGGCCAGCGACAGGACCGCCCACAAGGCACGGGCTCGGCAGGCCACGCTCGGAGCCCTCGTCCGCCTGCCCGGCCCCTCTTTGGAAAAAATGGCCAGGCCAGCCCGGGACCCTGTCGGACCCGAGCAGCGACCGAGGCCCCTGGCCGGCCGGCCAGCCAGCCCCTTTGTTGCCGTGAGCCACCACCCTTGTTTGGCACCGAGCCTCTCTGCCGTCGACTACCAACCCACCCTCCCATCGCTTCCCAGCCAGAATACTGCAGACGGGACCCCTCTTTCCCTCTCATCTGCCCTGGGGGATACAGCATGAGTATGGCCAGTCCTGGTTCGACGGAACGATGGCACCGAGATCCTGGGCACCGCCCCACGCCCGTCTGCCTTTCAGGCGGGCTTCCGCGGTACGGGCAGCCGCACACGTACGCTCGTCCTCTCGACCATGTGCGGCTCCCCACCACATGGCGCGAGGTCCGGCACCTTGTCTGAAAGGTCGGGCAGGTAGGCAGCCCGGCTCGCCGTCCGCCGCTTCATTTGCGAGCACAATGGCCGCTGCTGGCCTCCTGTGCAGGTGATCTCAGGATCGCGACGCGAGGATCCGTGCCTGCCTGCCTGCCTGCCTGTTCATGAGGCTCGGGTTGCAAAGGGAGCTCAGCCAGAAATCTCGCGCCCTTTCTTCTCGAATTGCTTGTTTGTAGCCCCCATCACCATGGAGCCTTGTTACCCGGACAGCCAACCCGATGGCATTGTCCGCATAGCCCTTTGGCTCTGCCCCCCATTCGGCACGGGCTCGGTCCAGACGGACGTCGAGCCATCCCAGAGGCAGGCCCCGTGCGTGCGTGCGTGCTTTAGCGGCATCGGGGGCAGCCAAGCAGCTCGCCTCTCGCCCCTCTTAATCCGCCTGATCACAATCATTGGGGACGCCCTGTCCTTCCTCGCACCATGCTGCTGGTCCGGTACCGGTCCACGCTACTACTCGGACTAACGCCAGCATCTCATCATCTCGCCACCCAAACCGCTGACAGTCAAACGGCCTAGCGCGCTCGACGCAGCGCTACGCAGTCGATCCAGCCTGTCACACACTGCGGCTGCGAACGAGCCGCGGGGTTCGGGCGGCTGGCAGCCTACCCCGGCCGGCGGGTGGGCTCAGAAGGCAGACCCGGGGTGCTAGACGAAGGGGCTCACAGAAATTGGCCAGCAGAGGGGGGGCGCACGCGTCGCCACGGTCGACGGTGGCCGAACCCGGTCCTTGGAACCGCCCGTCGGCTCCTGGGAGCCGTTGCCTAAGATCGCCGCCGATAGTCGTTTCGCCTTTGCGAGCCTTTGATGGGCGTCCACCGCCGCACGCCTCACTGACGGTTCCACCAGCAACGCCCGCAAGTCTCACGGTCCCGAGCCGCGCCCGTCTCATCACGCCGAGCCAGCCAGCCCGCCCGCGTTGCCAGGACTGCAGGAAGTGCCCGCCGCTGACGGAGCGCCGACGACAGACCAATGGCCCTCTCCCGTACAGAGGAAAAACGTGTGCTCGTGGTCTTCCAGCTGTGGCGTCGGGATGCAACCGGGCAGGCGGTCAGGCGGGCAGCCGGATAAGCAATGGCTGCAACAGGTTGCAAGCCGCACCGGCGACGGCGATGACGACGACGTACACATACATACAACGGCACGCCCTGCTGTACGGCTTGGCGTTACAGTAGTTGAAGCCGCTACGCCTCGATGGCAGCTTCGCGCGTCACCTATGACTTGTTGCGCCGTGAAGCGCTGCAAAGGGCAGGCGGGTCGAGCAGCGATATCGAGGCTAAGCAAGGTTCGGCCAGACAGCCAATAATAATAAGTATGTGCGGCTCTATCTGCGGCTCTTACAGCCGGTCGATCGACTTCATTACGGATACTGCCAGCTTCTTTGCACTGGGATCCCGCCGAGCCTGTGCTTCCCCCACTCTGAATCCTCCCGCCTCCCCGCAGCGAGCAGGCAGGCAGGCAAGCAAGCCAGCCAGCCACCACGCTGCAGCGCATGGACACGTACGCTCGGTCTGCAGTCGTTGCACCTCCGATCCGACTTCATTTGGCGACGCCAGGCGCGCGCGCCCAGAAGGTAGGGAGGTAGGGCTCGTCGGCGGCATCCAGCTGGCTGACGGTAGGGCTGCAAAAACAGCATCATCAGGCGTCGCCCACGCTGACGGGTCGACGCTGCGCCGTACGACGCACGCACGCTGCACCTGCGGATGCACGTCGAGGACGCCGCTGCGGCACACACGCTTCGAGGGCATCCATGGGCAGGCGTGCGAATAGCGCACATGCCGCTGGGTGGCGGCTTTGAGGCTGCGGCCAGCTCCATCGACTGACACGACGGGCGGTCTGCACCGTCCTTCGAGGGCGGGTGCGGCGCGGCTGGCCCGCCATTGTGTTGCGGCGAACGGCAACTCGTCGCGCCCGCCAACCCACCTTACTCTTTCTTACCTGCCTGCTTGTGCTCCCGCATGCAGCCGGGAAGCCACCTTCCTCGACTGCAAGCAAGCGCAGTCGCAGTCGCAGTCGCAGTCGCAGACGTTGCTTCCCCAACCATCGCGGGCGGGCGGGCACCATCGCGGCGCGCATGGTCCTACTCTCCTGGCCGACGTGCCCCTCCTCGCCCTAGCCTTCTTTGTCCTCCCCGCCCGGAAAACTACGACGTACGACGTACCAAGGCGGGCAAGCGTACGTGCATGCTGCCCTTTTAGCCTCTCTGTGCATGCAAAAGCTTCAGCACGGTATCATGGATCCAAGACGATCCAAGCAATAAGGCTCAGAGGGTATCGCTGCCCGCCGAGCCCAACCCTCTTTCCGTGCGCCTCCCCCTACCTTGACGCGGGACAGGCACGATGCCCGCACGAATGGGCCAGAGACATCCTTCGTGCGTGCCCGGAAGGACAGGGATAGACAGGCAGATGGACAGAGAGAGGATCAGGGGCCGGAAATGCTCCGGTGGCCCACAATCAACCTTGGCCCACCGCCCGGGCATGCGGGTGGGAGGCTTTGCCGCGGTGGATAGGGCGAGAGCAAACGTACGGTTGACTTCTCATTTCGCAACGCAGCCCGGCCCAGCCTAAGCCAGCCCAGCCCCTACCCAGCCTGGCCCGGCCCAGCCCAGCCCGGCCCGGCCCAGCCAAGCTAAGCGCAGCCCAACCTTGACCAGCCCACGCTGTTCGGGTCACCACGACGTGCCGCCTCAGAGGACGGCCAGAGGGCAAAGAGGGGGCGGCCGGCCGACAGACCACACGGTCACACATATAAGTCGAGGCGGATGATGCTGCTGACTTGACGAAGGAGGTCATGCCTCTCCCCCTCTGCATACCTATAACTACCCACCCACGCCGTAGCTGAGCAAGTGACGAGGTCATCCCAGTGTGCCATCCCCTCCCCTCCGGTGATCTTGCGTCAGCCGACTCTCGATTGCCAAGGCTTCCTGCATCAGCACCAGCACCTCGCCTCGAGACGGACCTCACTTCACTTCACAGCCTCACCCTCGCCCGCTCTCGCCACTGATCCCTCTGCGACGGTCACGACGGCTCGCCATCGGCCATGTCATCGAAGAGGATCTCATCCGGACGCCTCGCCGGCCTCGATGCCGACGCCATCACCGAGCGTCGGCGTCACCAGAACAAGCTCGCCCAGCGCCGGCTCCGAGCCAAGCGCAAGCTCCTCATGCAGCAGGCCCAGGCCGCCCGGGTGGCTGCCATGGCCGCCGCCTTCCGGTGCGAGGGCGGCCGCGGCTGGCACCTCGACCCTATGGCCGCGCCCCACGTCGTCCAGACCCAGCACCACCATCCCTGGCAGCGACAGTCGTGGTCCGGCCCCATCCTCCAGAACGGCTTGGTCGAGGGCGGCCACGACTGGATGCCCTCTGGCCCCACCAGCCTCAGCTTCGACGCCAGCGCTGGGCTGCAGGGCTTCCAGCCTCCCTACCTCGACCATCGCAACAGCTATGCATCGTCGTCCGCCTCTTCGCTTGCGGCATCGCACCCGGATCACGCCTCGACTGGGGTCCAGGGGGTCTACACGACGCCTCACGATGTGTTGGCCTCGCCACCGCCTCCAGAGTGGGCGGCGTCCGCGCCAGCAGCGCACCACATGCAGGGCACGGCGGCTTTTCATCGCCAGGCATCGCTGAGCGGCCCTCCCTTCAACCCGCACATGCCAAGACCGGCAGGCCAATGCCACCCGCAGGCAGGCGCGGTTCCGTCGCAACCGCTGTCGCCGTGGTCGTTGCCCCTTGAGCAGTCGCGGACCGCGCTCTCGCAGGGCGGCAGCGACGAGCCCAACAAGCCAGTCGACCTCTGCGCGCCGGCCTTTGCCTTTCCGCCGCGCGATTCCCTCGCCCCTCGCCAAGCCTCGCGTGGAATGCCGTCAGACTGCGCCGTAGCCGATGCGCGAGACGCCCGCGCTAGGGACGCAGACTACTGCGCTCAGACCTTTCCGACGCTGCTCAACCATTCCGCCCATCGACCGCCCCAACCTCACCCACGCCTGGACCAGCAGCGGCACGAGGAGGAGCAGCAGCAACAGCAGCAGCAGCACAGCCTCTCACACCTTGAGCATCACCAGCACCAGCACCATTACCAGCAACACCAGCTGCAGGGGCAACAGCAGCACCGCCAGCAGCAGCAGCAAGTGCAGGGTCACGTCGACTCGCTGGTGACGCCGCCGTTGGATCCGAGCTCGACCTTTTCGTCTCCGCCCCAGGCCGTGCCCGCCTTTGAGCTTCAGGATCCACTCAAGTCGGACAGCCTCTCGAACTTCCCCCTGAGCCAGGGCTGGTGCGGCTTCCAGGCGCCCATGGCCAGCCCGCTGCCGCTGCCACCGGCCCGACGCGCCTCGGACCTGGCCTACCACCGGCCGATCCAGATGCAGTCCAGGCTCGAGGCCCAGTACGCGATCAACGTCCTGCCCGCCGGCTCGATGGGAGGCGCGCCGTCGAGCCAGAGCGAGTTGGTCAGCCAGCCCGTGGCTCCCGCCAGCCACTCGCTCGAGATGGCCTGGTCGGGCCTCGAAGCGACCACCGTCAAGGCCCCGGGCGGAGAGCACGGCGCGTTGCTCGGCGAAGGCCTCGGACTGATCCCCGGTCCGCACGGTTCCGCCTAGAAGGCCAGCACCACCTCGACCGTCTCATCTGCTCCGTATCTCTCCATCCTGTCCTTGCCCCTCGGTTGCCACGCCTCGCCATCCTCGACCTTGATCTCGATGTCGACTTCAACCTCGACCACTTCCTCGCCTCGATACAGGACGAGCAGGCTCATACGTCTATCATCGAAGCGTCAACCATCGCCCATCGCCCATCGCCCGTCTGGTCTCCTCCTACCTCTCTTCCCGTCGCCTCACGCCCTCTCTGGCCAACTGTTGTACTCTCACACCGCCCCACCGTCCGTCAGCTGCCCCCCATGGACCATCTATGTAGACGTCTCGCCCCCGCATCCAGGCATACACTAGATCCCACCGCACCGCACCGCACCGCATCATATCGCACCGCATCGTATCGCACCGCATCGTATCGCATCTCGCCGTCTGCGTCCCTCTAATACCGTACCACCAGGCTCCGCTAATCGACCTTGTGTCACTCGTCTTCGATGTGCAGCACGTGCTCGGCCGATCGGGAGCGTGCTCGATCGATGTATCGGGACTGGCAGGAGAATAGAGTGAGGATGGAGGCAATAAGGACGGTGGTGGTGGTGGCGAGGCAGGTCGAGAGCGAGTCGCCCACGTCAGTCTACCTGGACGCGCGTGCACGAGGGGCTGGTGGTGGGGACGCCTGGCCTGGCCTGGCCTGGCCTGAGGCGTTGCGTGTGTATGTTTTGAAAGCGGGCCCTCGCTTGCCAGGCCCCGTGTGTTGATCTTTTTGCAATTTCCTGCGGGCTGAGGGCGGAGGCCTCGAAAGCGGGCGCCGGCTGGCGAGGGCGCGGGCGCGGGCGCTGCCAGGCTGCTGCTGGCTTGTTTGCATGCGCCACGTACGGCTCGGGCCAGGCAGGCAGGCGGGCGGGCAGGCAGGCAGGGTAGGCAGGCAGGCAGGCAGCTGCAAGCAGGTCGACCCACGGACCGGGCGCACGCCTGCGTTCCTCGTGGGCATCCTTCTCTCCACCACCTCGTTCCACCAGGCATACCGCAACACGACACGCCACGAAGCCGGCGTGGCCCCTCCGTCAAGAGAGAGCGAGAGAGACTCCACTCCACCCACCCGCTCGCCATCGCTGCGCCTGCAAGCAACCTACTCCGAATCGCCGTGTCGCATCCGTCCATCGGATTTTCGCGACTGTAACCGCACCTGCCCAAGCACCTCCTTGGATTGCGGGACCGGCGAGCCGTACCTGCACTGCACGACTCCTCACTCCTCTACGACCTGCCTAACGACCACGACAGCAAACGCGATCACGACCACGACTACGGCCACGACCGACCCAGCAAGCAAGCGAACATCACAGCCACCACAGCCAATCTAGCCACACCCGCAACGAGCCGCCGCCGCCACCATGTCAGACGACGAAGCAACACCGTAAGTCGCCGCCTTCCATCGCTCTGCGCCTCTCCTCGCCTCTCCTCGCCTCGCCTAGCCCCGCTGCGCTCCCACGAAAGCTGACCATTTGCAACCTCGTCCGCTACGGCGCGCAGGCACTTTGACACTCCGGAGCAGGAGATCAAGCACTGGAAGTCCAAGGTGGCCGACATGCAGGATGCCCTCCGCGAGGCCCAGAGCTCCCTCACCGACTTCATGGAGTCAAGCAAAGACCTCGAGGCCGAGATGGAAAAGGAAATCTCGGCGTCCAGCAAGACCATCAGCGGTCTACAGCGCGCAAACGAGTCGCTGAAGGACAGCGTCGAAGATTGGAAGGTGAGAACCGGCGGAGGCGACCCCGGCCGATACGACACCGCGAGCTCGAGCTAGGCACATCGCTGATCCTCGACGCCCGCAAGCGATCCTCGCTCCCTCTGACCCCGGACCCCGCCAGCTCAAGTACCAAAAGTCGCTGGCAGAGCACAGCAGCATGATGAACAGCGTCACCCGCGAGCTCAACACGCTGCGCGAGTCGCACAACCTGTACAAGGCCAAGCTGCGCGACATGGAGATGGACAACGACGAGCTCGAGAATGCCGAGAGGTGAGTCGGACGAGGCCAGGCCAGGGAGTCGTCGTCTTTCACCGTGCGCTCGTGCGACGTCACGACTGACTTGCCATGGCTGCACCCGCGTACGTCCGCCTATCCTCCCGGCCGCACTTGCTCCTGATCGCAGGATGATTGCTTCGTCGCTCGCCGACATGGAGAGCCGCTACAACAAGACAATCGAGCGGACGGCCCTGCTAGAGGAGGAGCTGGTGCAGAAGTCGGCGCTGCAGGACGAGAACCAGCGACTCAAGGACGAGCTGAGAGGTGAGCAGCAGGACGCCGTGCTCGCCCGTCCAGGTAGGCCAGCAAGCTGGACCTCTGCTGACCCCGCTCCGATGACTCCGTTTGCTTGATTGAACCCTCACAGACCTCGCCGAGGAGGTGGCCGTCCTCCGCGACTACTCGACGCGCAGCCGGGCCACTTCCAGGACCGACACGATCCCCGAGGACGCCAACGTCCGGCACTCGGCAGACGAGGCAGCCTCGTCCGAGGCTGGGCCCTCTTCGCTGCGGAGGCGCGAGAGGCCAGTCTCGTACACGGCCGACCGCCCGTCGTCTCGCCAGGCCCTGGCGTCGCCCACCGTGGGGCGAACCAACTTCTCCCAGCGCGTCGCTGGCATCCAGGCCCACGCCCGCCGAGGCAGCCGGGATGTCCGCGACCTGGTGGCCACGCCGACGATGGGCGAGAGCCCAGACAGCATCGTGCGGTCCAAGTCGACGCGCGCGATCCCGTCCATGGGCCGCGATGGCGCCGCCACGGGCTCGCCCGTCGGACGCAGCTCGCTGCGCGACACGGTCCGCGGCCTTCCACGGACGCCGACGACGGCCGGCGGATCCAGGACGTCTGGCGTCAACTCGATGGTCATGATGCAGACGATGGTGGCCAAGATGAAGACGCTCGAGGGTCGGATCATCAGCGCGCGCAACCTGTCTTCGGTGTCGGCCGTCGAGAGCTCGATTCCGCGGCCCAGCTCGAGGATGGGCTCAGTGGGTCCGGGCGGCGGCGGCGGCGGTGGCGGAGCCGGCTACGCCTCGCCCACGCTGTCGCAGAGCGCGCGGCGGACCGGCCCGCGGCCCAGCCTGGAGAACAAGACCAGCATCGCCAGCTCGATCCCGCTGCCGACGAGCGGGCTGTCGCGCTCCACGACGCGGCGACCGAGCTCGAGGATGAGCGACCGGGGCACGCCACCGATGCCCAACGTAGGACTGCCGCGGTCGGCGACGCCGAGCTCGCAGCTCTCGACGCCGTACCCGGGCAGCAGCCGCGGGCCGTCGCCGCTCGAGTTCATGGACCACGACCCAGCGGCGTTGCTGCCGCAGAATGCGCGGCTGGGCACGGTGGCCATCGCGCGGCGACGCAGCAGCATCTCGAGCAACGGCCTGCACTCGGGGACGGTGGCAGCGGCGGCAGGCACGCCGGCCAAGGTGCGGGTGGGCTCGGCGCTGCCGGTGATGGGATCGACGCCGGCGGTGAGGCGAGAGGCGGGAGCCCGGGCATCGTCGACCCACCAGCGGCCGCCGTCTGGCCAGTTTTCGAAAGAGGTGGGGCCGCCGACGGCGTGGAAGGCGTCGGCGCGGCGGTCGCGCAGCGGCAGCATGGTGGCCAAGGCGACGACGGCAGCGACGACGACGTCGGTGGCGAGGGAGGTGTGATCGCGGCCCTCTCCTTCCTGTCTCTGCCTGCATCCGTTGCCCATTCTCTGTCTGCTCGACCCGGCGTGTCGGCTGGGGCGCTCGCCTGCCCCTTTGCTCCGTCGTCGATGCGTCGATCCCTGCCTATTCCTGCACATGCCCTTGCCTGCTTCGGCCACCGGTTGCTGTCAGCTGTTGTACTTGTAGCGCGCGCCAACAGGGCATAGAAGCTGCTGCCCCCACTTTTGCCCAGCCGCCCGGCCCACCATCACAAGATACAGACTCAAGGAACGATCGGTCTGGCTTGCTTGAGGCGTGGTGGGCTTGGTGGGCGTCTTGAGCGGTTGCTGGCGGGAGCGGAGGAAGCTCGGGATGCGGGGGGCTGGAGACAAGCGGGCGGCCTCTTCTGACTGCCAGCCTGCCGTCCTGCCACGCGGGGTGAAGCACCGATGTCGCCATTTTCAGGCTAGGTTGCTGCCCGGGCCTAAGGCTGGCGGCTGGCTGCACGGGCCGACTGCCGAGTCAGCGAGAAGAAGTGAAAGAGGCCGGCCGTTCGGGGTTTGGCCGAGGGTACGAGGGCGATGCTTCTTGGCTCGACGCCGCCTCGATCCAGCTTGAGACTACTGCCCTGGCTCCCACTTCCTTCTCACCACCACCACCTCTGCCACCGCCACCGCCGTCACCCTCCCCACTGCCAGTCGAGTCCGTCAATACCTCGCCGCCCGATTGTCACGATGGCATCCTCGCGCACCCTCTCTCGCCAGCTCGGCGGCCTCCTCCGCGGTGCCACTGGCAGCGGCAGCCGCAGCACCGGCGGCAGGGCGGCGCGCTTCGTCCCTGCGCGCCAGCAGTCGACGCTGCCCGCCGTCGCCGCGGCGCACCTCAACCCGGTCAACGGCTTCGTCGGCGCCGTGGGCAACACGCCCCTCATCCGGATCAACACGCTGTGCCAAGAGACGGGCGCCGAAATCTACGGCAAGGCCGAGTTTATGAACCCGGGCGGCAGCGTAAAGGACCGCGCCGCCCTCTTTGTCGTCAAGGACGCAGAGGAACGCGGCCTCATCCGCCCCGGCGGCACCGTCGTCGAGGGCACCGCCGGAAACACGGGCATCGGCCTCGCACACGTCTGCAGGGCAAAGGGCTACAAGTGCGTAATCTACATGCCCAACACCCAGAGCCAGGAAAAGATCGACCTGCTCCGCATGCTCGGCGCCGAAGTCTACCCCGTCCCCGGTGAGTGGCACCGACGTCGTCGAAGAGATGGTGCCCCCCTCCCCTGTCCTTTGCGTTTGCGCGTGCCGGTGGCGCTGCCTTGCGACTGGCTGACCGACCCGCGAGCACGCCTCCTGTCGACCCCGATCAGCGGTGGCGTTTGACAACCCGCAGAACTACAACCACCAGGCCAAGCGGCACGCCGAGTCGCTCGACAACGCCGTGTGGACCAACCAGTTTGACAATACGGCCAACCGCCGCGCGCACATCGAGACGACGGGCCCCGAGATCTGGGACCAGACCAACGGCGGCCAGCTCGACGGCTTCATCTGCGCCACGGGCACCGGAGGCACGCTGGCGGGCATCACCCACTACCTCAAGGAGCGCTCCCAGGGGCGCGTCCAGTGCTGGCTGGCCGACCCGCCGGGCTCGGTGCTGCACTCGTACATCCAGACCAAGGGCAAGCTCATGGACCGCCAGGGCGGCTCCATCACCGAGGGCATCGGCCAGGGGCGCGTGACGGACAACCTCAAGCAGGAGGTGTCGGTGCTCGACGACTCGGTGCACGTGCCGGACGAGGAGAGCATCGCCATGGTCTACCGCCTCCTCGACGAGGAGGGCATCTACATTGGCGCCAGCTCCGCCCTCAACGTCGTCGCCGCCAAGAAAATGGCCGAGCGGCTGGGCAAGGGCAAGACGGTCGTCACGATCCTCTGCGACGGCGCCTACCGCTACCAGGCGAGGCTCTTCAGCCGCAAGTGGCTCGAGAGCAAGGGCCTCGCCGATGCCATCCCCGAAAGGCTGCAGAAGTACATCGTGCTTCCGTGAGGGGGCGGGCGAGCGAGCGCAGGGATCCGAGCTGCAAGGGCGGGCGGGCGTGTACGGCTTGTACATACACCAGGACGATAGCACTGAGTGGCGGAATCGCAAATAAAATCCACCTTTGCTAGACTCGACCGAGACCGGACGACGGCGAGGATCTGAGGGAAAAGGAAGCAAGGTCGCAGCGCTCGACATGCAGGGGCACCTCTGAGATTGGGGAGGTACGTGTGTGGGTGTACTCGGGATGTGATCTCGAGGCGGGCGCGCACCGGCTCGTGCTGGGCTGGCTGGCCAGGCCTAGAGGAGCGACCCGCTTCGGTTCGCCGGCCAGAACCACCACCACTAGCAGTGAGGAATCTGCCACGGCATCGCAGCGACACGCGCACCCTGCCCTGTCGCCGGTGCGCTCGAGTGCAAGTCGCTGGGCGGGCTGATGACGATCATCGAGCTGCGGGGCCACACGGGCTCGACGTACAGCTGCATCGGTCGGCTGGACGTTACGGAGCAAGCAGTATGGCATGCTGGCGGAGCGCCTCGACGCGACCCGTGTGCACTTCCAGGCCGAAGCGGGACCGCCTTTGCCCGTTGCTGAACGGGCTAGGCTGGGACGATCATGATCTCGGCCAGATGGAAGGAGGATGAAGAGACGAGAAGGTAGAGTAGCAGCCAGGATCGACGCAGTGACCCAAATGGCGAGGCGGCGAGGCGATGCCGCTAGACAAGACCACACCTGTCCATGCCCTGGAATGAGACGACGTTGCGGCCTCTACGGTCAGCGTGGAGTGAAGACCTAGACGGCCTGGGAAGCAGGCGGGGAGGCGGGCAGGGCTGAGTGCTGCGGAAGCAGGAGCAAGGACGACAGAGGCGGGCCGGGTGGTGGCGCCGCTGCTGGAACGGAGCGGGAAGAGATGGATTTTGAGCTCGCCCAGCCAAAAAGCAAGGCCAGCCAGCCGCTGGCCACGAGGCAAAACGCCAGCGAAAAGGCCCGGGCGTAACTTAGTCTCGGCGAGCGTGGGGGGCTGCCCGCGGGCCCAGGCCCACCGGCCGACCAACCAGGCTGGACTGGGCATGGCTGGGCTGGACAGACCGACCTGGACAGCCTGTCAGGCACCGTGCGTGCGGCCGTGGGGCTGAGCCAGAGACCCGGCGCCGCTTCTTCCTGGCCTGACCTGGCTGGCACCTGCGCTGGCCGGTGTGGGCCAGGCCAGTTGGTGCTGGGGACAGGTGCTGGTAGCTGGTGCTGGCGGGTCGTCTGCCTGGCGTCGGCCTGCCTGTGGTCCGCTCGCCTCTCCCGCTTCTTCCTGGTGGCCCCGCCTGCCCCACTCTCTCGTCTGGCCTCCCCCTCCGATCCCCTCTTCACCTTCTAGCCACCACCGACACGTCTAGTCTAACGACCCTTCCGCTTTCGTCTTCCCCTCTTCCACCCCTTCACCCCCGGTTCATCGTACTATCCGTCCGCCGTCCTCGTCGCTGCTGCTGCTGCTGCCGCCGTCGTCGCACACGTTTGTCGTCGTCGTCGTCGTCGTCGTCGTTGTCTGCTCCGTCGTCTTCGGTTCATCGTCGTCCTCCCCTGCCCTACGCCCATCGCCTCAAACACCCGGTCCTCTCGCTCGCCATGGTCTCCGCCGCCGACTTCCTCAAGCAGCACCAGGCCGGCCTCTCGGACGCTGGCTCTGCCAACGAGCCCGCTCCCATGGCCGACCCCTTCCCCGCCCTCACCCAGGACCCCTTCCCGTCGCTCACCCAGGACCCCTTCCCGCCCGCCTCCTCGGCCGCCGTCCACCACGGCGCCAGCACCGCCGCCAACGGCAAGGCCAGCGCCGACAGGAACAAGGATGCCCAGCCCGACTTTTCCTCCGAGTCGGCCTTTCCCTCGCTCGGATCGGCCCCCGCCCAGCCAAAGGGCCAGTGGGGAAAGAAGCTCGCCCCCGGATCGCCCGCCAGCGCCGCCACCGCAAAGTCGCCCGCCACCGTCGGCTCCGCTTCTACCTGGAACGGATCGGCCCCCGTCATCCAGCGCTCCGTCCAGCAGCACTCGTTCTCGCTCGTCATCTCCGCCGACACGCTGCCCAAGCTCGGCCCCGCCATGAGCCGCGTCCAGAACAAGTACAAGGGCGTCAAGATCGAGGCCAGCACCACCCGCAAGGCCGGCGCCACCACCTTTGTCCTCCGCGCCGCCGATGAAGCCTCGATCAAGCAGGCCAAGCGCGAGCTCACCGTCCTCCTCGCCAAGCAGGTCTCGATCCAGGTCATGATCCCCGCCTCCCTCCGCGCCTTCGTCATCGGCACAAAGGGAAAGAACCTCAAGGCCATCACCGACCAGACCGGCGTCAAGGTCAATGTCCCTCCCCGCGACCCCGCCGCCGCCGACGCCCCGCCCGCCAGCAACGCAGCCTCCCGCGACGTCGACTACGACGACGAGCAGATCCCCGTCACCGTCGAGGGCGACGAGATCAACGCCAAGCAGGCCCAGTCCATGATCCAGGCCATTGTCGCCGAGCGCACCTCGCGCACCACCCAGCGCCTCACCCACATCGACCACGTCTTCTACCCCTTCATCTCTGGCGCAAAGGGCGCCAACTCGGCCAGGCTCGAGAGCGAGGTGGGCGAGGGCGACGTCTCGGTCCGCGTCCCTCCCCGTGCCGCCTTCCTGCCCGCCAGGGAGGGCGACGAGGACGCCGCCGCCAACGGTGGTGCCGAGCCCAAGCGCGAGCGCGACCTGTCTATCGTCGTCTCGGGCGACCGCGAAAAGGTGGCCAAGGTCGTCGCCGCCATCGAGAGCCAGGTCGACGAGATGAAGAGCTCCTTCCGCACCCTCGCCATCAGCATCCCCAAGCGCCAGCACCGCTTCCTGGTGGGCGACGCCGCCAACGAGATCCTCGCCTCGACCCAGTGCAGCGTCGAGCTGGCCAGCATCGACGACCCGTCGGACAGCGTCACGATCCGCGGCCCGCAGAGCCAGCTGCCCCTCGCCCTGACGGCGGCCATGGAGAAGGCCAACGCCGTCCGCGTCGAGGTCGTCGACGTCGTCGCCGCCCATCGCGGCGCGCCCGGCAACGACCTCAACCACGCCAAGAACGTGTTGCGCTGGCTCAACGTCAGCGGCAAGGTGCCGCGCGTCCAGGGCGTCCAGATCTACCTTCCCAGGCCCGCCATCGTCGAGTCGTCGGGCACCGTCCAGATCGAGATTGTCGGCGCCGACGCCGCCGAGGTGGCCCAGGCGCGCGAGACGATCCAGGAGCTCGTCAAGCGCGTGGCCCCGTCGTTTGTCGCCGAGATCGACGTCGACCCGCTCCTCCACCGCATCATCATCGGCAAGAAGGCTCAGGGACTCAAGCAGTACGAGGCCCGCGGCGTCGACGTCATCTTCCCGCCCGCCTCGGCCGCCCTGACCGACGGCGAGTCGCGCTCCGACGTCCTGCTCGTGCTCGGCGGCTCGTCGGTCGTCGCGTCGCTGCCGGCCGACAAGAAGGCGCGCGACGCCAAGGCCAAGGAGATCCTCGACGGCGTCCGCGACGACATCGTCAAGGCCCAGGTGGCGGCCGCCGACCTCAAGACCGAGACGCTGAGCGTCCCCGCCAAGTTCCACCGCGCCATCCTCGGCCCCAACGGCACCACGCTCAACGCCATCATTGGCGAGGACCGCGCCGTGGCCGTCAAGCTGGGCTCCGGCAAGTCGTCCGGCGGCGACAAGGCGGCCGCGGCGTCGTCGTCGTCGTCGTCGACCTCCGAGGACTCGATCGTCGTTCGCGGCCCCAGCTCCGAGGTGGCGCGAGTCGTCAAGGAGCTCCGCCGCATCGCTGAAGAGGCCGAGCAGGACAGCATCGTCAATGGCCACGTCGCCGAGCTGACGATCGACTCGGCCCACGTGCCCCACCTCGTCGGCCGCGGCGGCGCCGCCGTCACCAAGCTGCGCGAGGAGCTGGGCATCCGCATCGACTTTGGCGAGCCCAGTTCGTCGGCCACCGACGCCGACGGCAAGAAAAAGACGAGGAAGGGCTCGACGACCAAGGTGGTGCTGACGGGCCGCAAGGAGAATGTCGAAGAGGCCAAGCGGCGGCTGCTCTCGCAGGTCGACAAGCTGGCCGACGAGACGAGCATCACCGTCAAGGTGCCCGCCGAGATGCACGGCAGCATCATCGGGCAGGGCGGCAAGTACGTCACCCGCCTCCAGGACACGTATGGCGTGCGCATCAACTTCCCCAGCGCGGCGCAGTCGTCGTCGACGGGCACGTCGACGCCCGAAGGCGCCGAGGGCTCCGCGCCGCCGTCGTCGTCGGCCAAGCCGGCGCGTCCCGACCAGAAGGCCGACGAGGTCATCATCAAGGGCGGCAAGAAGGGCGTCGAAGGCGCCAAGGCCGAGCTGCTCGAGCTGCTCGAGTACGAGCGCGAGCACAACAACGTCGTGACGCTGACCATCAGCAAGAAGTCGATCGCGCGCATCATGGGCAAGGGCGGCGCGACCATCAACCAGATCCGCGACGACAGCGAGGCGCAGATCGACGTCGACGGCGAGGACGCGCAGAAGGGCACCGCCCAGGTCCGCGTGCGCGGTACCAAGAAGGCCGTCGCGGCGGCCAAGGCGGCCATCCAGAGCATCGCCAGCGAAGTCGACGCCGAGGAGACCTACACGCTCACCATCGCGCCCGAGCACCACGGCCTGCTGATCGGCCCCCAGGGCTCCAACATCCGCGACCTCATCATCCGCGCCGGTGGGCCCGAGGACGCCAAGGCGTCGGCGCAGTACGTCCTCTTCCCGCGCCGCGGCGACAAGGCGACGGACGTGGTGACGGTGCGCGGCCCGGCGCCGCTGGCGGCCAAGATCCGCGACGAGCTGGCCAAGGCGGCCAAGGTGCTGGCGGACCGCGTCGTGTACGGCGTCGTCGTGGCTCCCCAGGCGCAGCGGATGCTCATCGGCCGCGGCGGCTCGCGCCAGTCGGAGCTGCAGGCCAAGCACAATGTGCGCCTCGTCTTCCCCGGCTGGAAGGAGTACGCGTCGACGGGCACGCCCGTCAACCAGGACGAGCTGGCCGGCGGCAACGATTTGACGATTGTCAAGATCTCGGGCGACGCCGAGAGCTGCAAGGCCATCGCCCAGGAGATCCGCGACTCGTTTGCGTCGGCGTCCAAGGTGGTCGAGGTGCCGCGCTCGATCCACGCCAAGCTGGCCACGCCCCAGTTCTTCCGCCAGCTGCGGAGCGACTACGGCGTCAGCGTCGACACGCCGCGCAACGTGGGCTCGTCCAAGGCCAACGGTGCCTCCGCCGCAGCGGCTTCGTCGTCGTCTGCCGCGCGCATCGACGCCGACCCGAGCGATGACGACGAGTTTGAGTTTTCGATCGAGGAGCTCTCGGCGTCGGACGACGAGAGCGTGTCGTGGACGCTGACGGGCAAGGACGAGGCGTCGCTGGACAAGGCGAGCGCCAAGGTGGCCAGCGCCATTAAGCGGGCGGGCGAGTTTTCGCACCAGGGCCGCCTGGTCATCCCGCAGTCGTCGGTGCCGCGCGTCATTGGGCGCGGAGGCAGCGGGCTGTCGAGCATCCAGAGCGAGAGCGGCGCGTCGATCGAGATTCCGCGCGACAGCGGCGGCGTCTGCTTTATCCGCGGCAGCGAGGACGCGGTGCGCGACGCAAAGGAGCGCATCATCCGCGTCGCCACCGGCGCTGGCAGGCGGGACTGAGCGGCGGGCGGGGCGGCGGCACAGCGGCGCGGCGACGCGGTGACGCAGCGACGGATAGAATCGCAGGCGGAAGGAGAGGGCAAGAGAGAGCTAGCAAGTGGTAACGAATGCTGCCTATATGTACATACACCCGCGCCTATCCCGGCGCCAAAGAGGGAGGGAGGACGGTCGGCTGGGTGAAGGACTCGGAGGAGAGCGGGTCGCCACGCTGGCGGCATCCTCCCCCTCGGCCCCCCAACCCCGAAGGCGCCGAGTAAAAAACTCAACGTGACGCTCCTCGACTACTACTGTTGCCAGCCCCGTTGTGAGCCCAATCCCTGGTGCTGGACGGAGGTGCGATATGGCGGCGACAGTGCGATCGTACCAGCAGGAAGGACAGCGTTGCGAAGGTATGCTGGTCGGAGAGGGGCGAGGATCTTGACGTCGAGGGGAGAGCAAGGTGTTGGTCTCTCCCGCCCGCTCTGGCCGCCCGTCGGCTCGCCCGCCCACCTGCCGAGCCTGGCTCTCTGCTGGGGTGTTTCCCTGACGCGCGCCCCCCGAACGGGCCTGGCGTCAAAACAAGCCCGCAACCAAAAATCCGAAATCCAAAATCCAAAATCGGGCCTCGAGGCTGCTCGACTCTGGCCCACCCACCGACCCGCGCGCGGGCAGCCAGGCCGGGCCTGGCCAGGCAGACGCAGGGCGCACGTCGCAGGACAGGGCAGGACGCGGGCGTGACCAGACGAAGGCCAGGTAACTAGGCCCGCCTGCCACGCAGAGGCCAGGCCGCGCCAGGCCACGCCAGGCCAGACCAACACCGCCCCGACTCGACTCGACCGGATCGGCGCACGCAAATGCCAACACGATCGTCACCACCATCAATCCCCCATCTCTCCTCCTCTTCCTATCCCTACGACAACGACAACGACAACGGCAACGGCAACAGCAACGGAAGCAACGGCCGGCGCATCAACCTTCCACCCTCCCTGCGCTAACCCACTCGCGCCTCAAGGACCACGACGGCCCGCCGCCAGCATTCCAGACTGCCGACCGACGACGATCCGGCCTCCTGCCCCTGTCCTTGTAATTGTACGGTCGACCTAGCCAACAAACGCCACCACGCAGACATCGTCTCTCCAGACATACTCGGTCGTGGAATACAACCGACGCCGCCTCTGCTCGACACCCGACGACCACTTTCTGCGCTACGCTATCACCCCCGGAGGAGGACCACACCGTCCTTGAGCCCTGCTTCTCCCACCCTTGCTGCTTGGCCGTCCAGCAGCGAACCGTATCCGCATACTGCACAGGCAGCTCGACTTGTCAGCAGCACCGACACAGCACTGCCTGCTTCCAACACTACTGAGCCCTGTCCAACCTCGCCGGCCGGCTAGACTCTTGCGACACCTCCGCACCGACATACCTCCCCGCCTTCCGCTCCGCCCGCCGCCCCACAGACAGCCGCACCGCTCTGGCTGCCCCGCCCCGCGCCGACAGCTAGGGTCGAGCATTCGGCTATCCGACCTCGGCACATACCCACCACCACCGCAGCTCTGCCCAGAGGCAGAACGGCGAGCCCACCATGGACGGCGAGTTTGCGGGGGGCGCCCCCCCGGTCGAGGACTTTACCAAGATGTCGGTCGAGGACAGGCTAGCGTCCAAGGTGAGCCTCGCATCCAGCTCTGATCGTCCAGTCACTCCGGGACGAGCTTCCGACTGACGACTGGGCCACTCGGCAACGTACCCACCGTCGACCCGATTGCAGGCCTGGAAGGCGAGGGTCTCGGCATACGAGGAGCTCGTCAAGTCGTTCGCCCGCACATCGTCCGACGCGGATCCAATCTTCCGCACGTACGCCCGCAACCCGGAGCTGATCCGCGCCATGGTCGTCGACAGCAACGCTGTGGCGCAGGAGAAGGGAGTCGACGCCGCCCGAGCGTTTGTCGAGTTCGGCGGCAACGCGGCGGGAAGGTGAGCGGACGCTGTCGCGACACCCGATCCAGCGTCGTCTGCGCTGGCCGGGCCCCGAGCCCTGTGCGACGCGCCCATGCTGACGGCTTCTTGTCCCCAACCCCCCTCTCTCCGTCCTCTCGTCTCTGTCGCTGCCTTGGCTGCCCAGGACACGAGAGGTCGTCGTGCCTTCGCTGGTAGAAAAGTGTCTCGGTTCGACGCGGGCGGGGACCAAGAAAAACGCCCTCGAGCTCGTCATGCTCTACGCCGAAAACGAAGACGTCATGGGCTGCGAGGGCCTGACGAGCGACCTGCTCGCCGGCCTCAAGGCCAAGCAGCCCAAAGTGGTGGCGGGCTGCGTGGCGGCGCTCAAGGACCTCACGCGCGACTTTGGTCACAAGCAGGTCAAGCCCAACCAGATCCTCAAGAAGCTGCCCGACATCTTTGCCCACTCGGACAAGACGGTGCGGGCCGAGGGCGCGCTGCTGGCGCAGGAGCTCTACCGCTGCATCGGCGCCGCGATCGAGCCGACCATTTCGGCGCTCAAGGAGATCCAGGCAAAGGAGCTGCGGCAGCAGTTTGAGGCCATCGAGGGCAAGTCGACGCCGACCCGCTTCCTCATCTCGCAGCGCGCCGTCGTAGAGGCCGCGGCGGCAGCGGCGCCCGCCGCCGAGGCTGACGCGGGCGGCGATGCGGCCGACGACGGCGCGGGCGGCCAGGACGACGAGGACGACATCGACCCGTACGACCTGGCCGACCCGGTCGACGTCTTCGGCAGCCGCGACTTTCCGGACAACCTCGACGAGATGCTGGCGTCGAAAAAGTGGCAGGAGCGCAAGGAGGCGCTCGAGGCGGTGCTCAAGGTGATGAACTCCTCGCTCAAGATGAAGCCCGACTCGCGCTTCGACGGCCTCGCCGACAGCCTCGCGCACAAGATCACAAAGGACGCCAACATCAACGTGGTGCTGGTGTCGTGCCAGTGCCTCGAGGCGATGGCCAAGGGCCTGCGCGAGGGCTTCGCGCGCTACAAGGAGAAGGTGGTGCCCCCGATCATCGAGAAGCTCAAGGAGAAGAAGGCGTCGACGGTCGAGGTGCTCGCCAAGACGCTCGACGCCATCTTCCAGACCGTCTCGTTCTCCGACATTCTCGAAAACGTTCTCAACGGGCTCAAGCACAAGAACCCGTCGGTCAAGACCGAGTCGATCCGCTTCCTCGTCCGGTGCCTCCGCACCACGCGGACGCCGCCAGCCAAGGGCGACATCAAGCCGATCGGCGACGCGCTCGTCGCGGCCATGGGCGACGGATCGCCCGACGTCCGCGACGCCGGCGCGGCGGGCCTCGGAACCCTCATGAAGCTCATCGGCGAGCGGCCGATGAACGCCTTCCTCGAGCCGCTCGACGACATCAAGAAGGGCAAGGTACAGGACGAATACA